CCAGGTGGTATGACGTCCACCCTCCAGCCGCTCGACGTTGTACTAAACAAGCCGTTCAAGGACCGAGTGCACCTGGAATACCAAGAGTGGATGTCCGGCGACAACCCCAAGACACCGACGGGGCGCCTACAGAGGCCTCCGCTTGCGACTGTTTGTGGCTGGGTGCTTTCCGCCTGGCGCTCCTTGCCGGATTCCATGGTGGAAAATTCTTTCAAGAAATGTTGCATCAGCAACTCGCTGGATGGCACTGAAGACGACGCACTGTCGGAGGCGGCCAGCGACAAACTCTCGTCTTCAGAAGACAGTGGTGCTTCGTCGGACGAATAGGAGCAGTTGCGATGGTGGTAGAGGGGAGCTCCGACGATCGGGATCGGGATGCGGTGCGCCCAATTCGCAAATAAATGTGGTTCGGCAGTTTTGGGTTGTTTTCTTCTTTTTTTTTTCTTTTTCGGTAGCCTGAACTTGGGGGGTCGACCGATATTACTACTCGACCTATAGTCCGGTTTATACGGTAGTCGACGCGGCCGTTGGAAATGAGGTCGCTGGACCATCTCACGATTTCTACAAAAATACCTCCATACATTTGTATGTTTAAGAATAAGCTGTCTGTGTGTATAGACAGCATTTCGACTATGGCCTTAGTGGACATAGAAGCAATTATTACAGTGATGAGTTTCGCGTTCAAATGCCTTCTCAAGCGAAAAGTGATGTTTTGCTGGGACTGCGCCGATACGCTTCGTGGTGTGAATTATGAGCCCCTATATTTTGTTGGTGTATGCAGTGTTGAAGTTAGCTTGGGTGGTCATTTATTTAACGCCGAGTTCGCAGTTCTACCTCCTGCCACGGATGACGTAGTACTGGGACTAGATCTACTAAAGCTTTGTGGTGTCAATGTCGATTGTTGAACGAGAGAAATTATTGTAGATTCTGTTATTTCGTCGGCATTTATGGAACACGCACCATGTACCGAAAGTGCCTTTTGCGTACGCATGGATACAGTTGTCCCACCATTGTCAGCAAAGTGTGTCCCAATCACATGTTCCCCTGCCACCAAAAAAACATTTGACGCCATGATAGAGCCGATACACCTTAGTTGCATGAAAAAGAATGTTCTGATACTTTATTGTACGCTGCCAGTTGTTCAAGGGCGCACTTTCTCATTGACTATCAACTGTTCCAATGAACCCACGATACTGCCGGAGGGTCTGAAACCAGCGGTGATTCATGAACAGCGAGTATTTTCTCTTGTAATCTTTGAAGAGTGCCGCGATTCCCCAGAAGAGCCTAGTTCAGTCAATGCGCCCGCCACAGACTCTGATTATGACTATGATCAACAAAGCGCTAAGCACAACCCAGCGCCGTGAAATGGCGAGTATCCTAACGAAACACTCTGGAGTGTTCGACTGCCCAGAAGGACGATCCGCCATCATTTTCCCCTTTTCGTATACAACACCGCATTTAGGCGGGATGTAATCCGCCTATCCGACAGCAACCATACCATGGGTCACCTTCGGAGCACAAGGTAATCAATGACCAAGTTCGTGACATGCCAAAAAAAATGTTGTCCAGGAATCGTGCAGTCGATGGGCAGCGCCAGTAATCTTGGTTAAAAAGAAAGAGCGCTCATGGGGATTTTGCGTTAATTACCATCATCTCAACGCCATCACCAAAAAGGACATATATCGTTCTCCACGGATCGATGATGCTGTCGATTGCCTTTCATCAGCTTCCTACTTTTCATCTGTCGATCTAAGAGTAGGATATTGAAAAATACTGATGCACAAGAAAGATAAGGGGAAAACTGCATTTGTAACAACCGATGGACTTTTCAAATTTAATGTGATGCCATTCGGGCTGTGTAATGCGCCAGCTACATTCAAGCACTTCATGGACAACATCTTGCGTGATTTGAAATGGGAAATCTGCATGTGCTATTCGGATGATGTAGTTATCTTTAAATGCATGTTCTGTGAGCACAACACATGACTCAACCTTGTGCTAAATTGTTTAAGCTAGTCATGTTTGGTACTGAACTAAAGAAAATGCCATTTCGGAGAGAGTAAAACACTCATCCTAGGCCACTTGGTGAACAAAGAGGGGATATGACCTGATCCAGCGAAGATGGCAGCAGTGGAAGCCTTCAAGCAGACTCGCCCAGTAAAAAAACTACGGAGCTTCCTGGGACAAAGTTCGTACTTCTGTCGCTTCATTCCTGCATTCGCTAATATCGCGCATCCACTCACGTGTCTGCTCTAAAAATAAGTGCAGTTGGAATGGACCGCGGAATGTGCGTCCGCTTTTAGCGAGCTGAAGTTCCGATTGATGTCCCACCCGATTCTCCGACACTTCGATCCTATGGCTCCGACGGAAGTGCGCTCGGACGCTAGTGACGTTGGTGTCAGTGCTGTTTTGGTTCAGCGTGTCGGCACTAAAGAACATGCCGTGGCATATGCAAGTCACTCCTTCAGAAGCCTGAGCGTAATTACACTGTTACGAAACAGGAGTCTCTTTCAGTGGCCTTCGCAGTACAACGCTTTTGGTCGTACCTTTACAGACGCCCCTTCACCGTCATGACAGACCAACATTCTCTGTGTTGGCTGGTCAATCTGCACGACCCATCCAGTAGACTTGCATATTGGACACTCTGCCTACAAGAGTACGACTTTAGAGTTGCTTATTAAAGTGGTCGCCGGCACGCTGATGTAGATTGCCTTTTGCGGTTGCCACTTCCTTCGACGGACTGTGACGTGGACAACTTCGACGGGTACATTGCATCATTGGAGAAAGGATTCTCTGACAAGAGTGCAACTAGGAGCCGCAAAAGGACAGTGCTCTACAGTAACTTCTTGCTAGCAGACAGAATTCTTCAGCCACTCGTTTTTGCATGCGCAACGGGCATCTATACAAGAACTATTGTACTACAGGTTCGCGCTATGTTCTGGTAGTCCCCAAGAGTCTCTACTTTTCAATTTTGAAAGCCATGCACGATGATCCAACATCCGGCTATTTAAGAGCAACGAGAACTTTCTACCGCCTTCAAGAAAGGATTTACTTGCCTAAAATGCATCAGACTATGCAGCAATATGTGTCTAGCTGCAATGAATGTCAAAGACGAAAGCGTTCTACAAGTACTCCTCCAGAAAGGCTACGTCCTAAGCCACCTCCAAGAACTCCATTTGAGCAAGTTGGAACCGACCGACTCGGTCCCTTTCCCCGGTCCTCCAAAGGATATCGTTAAATCATTTTGTATGCCGATCATCTGACCCGATACTACGAGATGGCCGCTATACCATCGGCTACTGCACGTGACTTGTGCTTCTTCATGCTACGCTAAGTGATTCTCTGACACGGATCTGCAAAAGTCATTATTAGTGGCCGTGGACTCCAGTTCATGGCAGAAGTCGCCGAAAAGATGCTTCGTCTATGTGCTTCAAGTTTTCGACCCTCTATGCTCTATCACCCTCAAACAAATGTTCTCATTGAACACACAAACAGAACTCTCATGAACATGCTTTCTAGGTATGTGTCATCAGATCACAAAAATTGGGACGATGCTCTGCCTTTTATTGCTTATTCCTTCAACACCGCACAGCATGAGACTACCGGCTACAGTCCCTTCTTTCTTCTTTATGCTAGACCGCTACGCTATACACTCGTCCAATTTTCCAGTTTTAGGGGCGAAGCTCCTTATAGCAGCAACCGTTCGCCCCTCGTAGTAGCAGTAGTAGTAGTAGTGTGTAACCAGTCTTACATTTTGACCTCCAAGGTGGTGCCGGTGAGAGATTTCTTCTGTGCATTGTTGAACAATAAAACATTCGCAGTGTGTGCGTTAACTAAAAGACGAATTCTCCTGTCTCTCATTCCTCCATAGCAGCCATTGGCATGTACATTGAGCACTATCTGACAAGAAAGGGTTGCTACGTTATACTCGCTGGGCGTAACCTTCTTGGTTTTAGAAAGGTTTAGCAAGCGTTGGGCCGCAGTGCCATGAATACAGTGAACTAGTATATACCATGAACTCGAGGTGGTTAAAGGTGGGAAGTAGACATGAAGCGCAAGCCGTAAAAAAGTGTGCGTGTGCCTTCTCTCGATCAGTCCTCGGAATGTCCGCTGGATGGTGGTGCTTCTATATGAGGAATATATGATGAAAAGATGCGAGATGGTGGTACTTGGAGTGTTGAATAGGTGGATGAACGGACACACAAACAGATGCATGGACGGACGCACGGATGGATGCATGAACGGACGCAGGAGCAGATGCATGGACAAGCGCAGGGACGGACGCACAGATGGACGTGTGGTCGCACGACCAGACCCACGCACGGACGGGCGGATGGATGCACGGACGGCCACACAGACGCACGCATGGACGAACGGAAGCAAGAACGAATGAACGGACGGATGCTTCGCCCCACTCTCCATCATTCACTCCATGGATATACTGCCATTTTTTTTTAGATCACAATGATCCCGCATATCTGAGACTATCTGTCGTACGGAAGAGGCCAGACAACTTGCTCATTTGTGCACTCTTGCTTCCCAACAACGCACGAAGGTACGGTTCGACAGACAATGCCGACACATCACATTTGAACACGGCGACTTGGTGTGGCTTTGGACTCCAGTGCGAAAACGGCGATTATGTAAAAACTGTTGGCGCATTATGTTGTACCCTATGTCATTGTTGGCCGCATTAAGTGACATGACGTACTGCGCTGCTCCCATTCACGCCAATGGCCGACGTTCTGCAAAGACAGAACTTACACATATTGCCCGTTTATAGCCGTTCATTCTTAGAAAGACTGACTGACTCGCCCGGTGGGCTTTGTCTGAGCGCAGAGAGATGTTACAATTGTAGTTTGGGTATGTGCACCTGTGTGTAGTGGGTCTACGGTTAAGAGAGGTGAAGAAAAAGAGGACATGCCTTGAGATCGCCACAGCTGAGCGCGTCTCAATAAACTCTGTTCGGGGCATGACAATATAAAGCAGCTACTCGCGACCTACTTGTAATGGAGACTGTAGAAACTCGTGGTGGAACGTTGAGGGAGGTGGAGGAGGATGAGGAAGAGGAGGTCGCAATGGTGGATCCAGGCCCTGCCTTGGTCACGAGCTTGGCACCCGAGATGGGCAGCTGGCTTTGAGCAATTATCTTCACTGCTGCAACAGGGTGGGACAAGGTAATAGAGTCGCCACTGAGAAACTTTAGAGCTCTGTGTATATTTCACTGACAACACATAGTGAAAACAAACTTTTTAACCAAGGACTGTACTGCTGTTATTTTTTCTCTTGGTTACGTCAAAAGATACGCTAGCACTTCTTGCATGTAGTTCTTGAGTAGCGGATGAAAATACTGTATTTACTTATAATGAATGCACTCGCATAATGGATACACCCCCAACTACAGTTGTCAAAATTTGAATTTTATTTCCCCACATAATAAACGCACAAGCTACATTCATCCGCTGCAGTCCCGCAAACAAACAACTTGCGCCTCAGTTTTTTTCATTATTACCGTATTTACTCGATTCTACCGCGCCTTCGATTGTAACGCGCACCCGATTTCCACGACGAAAAAAAAAAATTATGACATCGATTGCAACGCGCACCCATTTTTTTCGCCGGCTTGCACGAACACACCTCTAGAAAAAACAACTCCTTTCGGGAGCGTCTTCCATTTAAATATGAGGTACGGGGGGAAGCTTGTGCTCATCTGACGTGTAACAGAGGGTTGCCGTCACTGTAGTTTTACCGTGGACCGACGTCAGCATGCGAACTTGCTTCGCCCCCTTCTTCTCGACGGTTGCGGTGCCAGGCATATCAAAGTAAAGAGGCGCCTGATCGGCATTCCCGATTTGCCCAAGCAGGTAGCCGTTGTTGTGCCGCAAGTTTAGGACGAACCTGTGAAAACTGTGAAGCTTTTTATCCTACTCCTCTGCAGAATTTTTCGCATATGCCCGTTCACTTTCGGAAGGAAAAGCCTTTCCTCTTCATAAAGTTAGTTAGCCAGCACTGCTCGCTTTAAACTGGCTCCGCATTACACCTTTTTCTAAGGCTAACTGCATAGCCCGCACTTGGAGCAGTTCTGTCGTCACGGGCCGCTGTGCCGCTCGCTGCTCAAGCACATACTCGCCGAGCAGCTCTTCAATTTGCGGAAACCGACCCTGCTGTGGTCCACTGAAGCCTTTGCGTGAAGCTTTGCTGTCGACAATCTTCTGCTTTTGTTTCCGCCAGTCCCGCACGCACATTTCAAAAACTCCGAACGACCGCGATGTGGCCCGATTTCCGTCCGTTTCTGCACACGCGATGACTTCCCTTTTAAAAGTAGCATCGTGGTGCACTCGAGTTTTTGGAGTCAGTCCTTCCATGTCGTCGATGCTAATGTACTACAAGATGACGAACTCCTCAGCACACGTACGAAGTGCCGCACATGGGAAACACATAGGCAGAAATGGCCGAACGCATAGGGAGCGACCATTTTGAAAATGCCGATGGCAATAGAATGACCGTATTCATTTTTTTTCGTACTCGATTCTAACGCACATGCGATTTATCAACCCGCTTAACGGGAAAAGGTGCGCGTTAGATTCTAGTAATTACAGTATGCCAACCCCTCCCTCCCCCCCTCGGTCACCTCGGCTGGCTACTTTCACCCCTTCGCCTGTTCGCCCGCTGCCGCTTGACCTATTGTTTTGTTTTTTTAGATGCAAAGCAGCTCTTTGACTAGCCTGCGTAACGCTGTCCCTCCATACACCCCACTGTGCATGCTCGTGTTTCGATTCTCGTGCCCCATGCTCGCGTCTCGTGCTGGCCTGGGAAGACACCCACAAGACTGTCGCTCCCCTCCCCTTCTCTCGCCTCACAAGGCCAATGCAGGCAGCGTTTGCTAGTAAAAAACCGACTCCTCGCACAGCAGAACCGTTCACTGGCCACCCCATATATGTACGCACTGGATCGCGCGTTCGGATTTCAGTCAAGGCTGTCTTTACTTAGCTTTCGCTTATGAGCGCCAGCCTCAACGTCGCTGCCAGTGAAAGCGTTATCACTCGCTGCTTCGCAGCTACACATGGTTCCTATTAGCCAAATATGGTGGAAGTTTTTTTCGTTGTTTCTATCTGTGAGCGGCAAACGCCCTTTCTTTTTTTAACTATCTATGCACTAGACCGGGTTCACGAACAGTGCAAGCGTAGAGACATTGCAGCTGACAAGCACACAGCAAGCTAAGGTCACGAAACTGCTTGCGCCAACCAAACGCTTCCTGCAAATAGGAAACTTCAAGGCAAAACCACATGCATGCGATAGTCAAGCAAAAACGACAGGGTTTTCTATTGCGATGGCTGTTGCAAAGGGCCATTTGTCGCTATCGCGTCGCAGGTTTCTCGAAAACAAGAAGAAAATGAATTCTCGCAAAGAAAAAATTGTGACTATTTCCGCAACATGTAGCACTCCGATTCACGCTTTGGTTGCAATTTGCTTTTTGTGCTTGTTATCTCCTGTAGTTAAAGAAACGCAAGATATACGCTACCTTTTCTACCGTAACTTCTCATGTGGGCAGTGAGGCGGTGGCCGTATTTTATCATTGATCTTGTTATCGATGGTTTGTCTTAATGATTCGGTGGTAGCTTGCTGTAATGTTGGTTACTTGCTACAATGTCGACGGTGGCGTCGCAGTTGTCGTGCGAGGTTGCGGCGAAGTTGACAAAGTGCGACGTAGCATCGTAGTGCCCCCTTTTGGGTGCCCCTCGAGATAACAGCAGATACCACTGTTGCGATTCAACAATTAAGTGAAAAGATATGCACGAAATGCTTTTATGACGTGTACGGGGGGGCGCAAAGACAGCTTGCAAAAAATAGCGCCATCAATTACCGAAGATGAGCTAAGTGAAACAAAGAAGCTGTTTCCAAACAGTGTATGCGTGCACTCAAACGTCGCTATAACAAAGTTGCATCTTACACAAAATTACCGTATTTACTCGCATAATCCTCGCGCTCACATAATTCTCGCACTCCCCACATTGTCCAACAAAAATATGATTTTTTTTCCTCGGGTAATTATCGCACCACCAAAAATTGACGCAATAACGTTGTCTGCTCGTTCCAGCCGTTGATGATGATAGCACGCGCCATCTGGCGGTCTTTCTTAAGCATCAAGCGTACTATCATTGCACAGAGATCCAATTCGAGCCAAGCCAAAGCGGCAAGTGCGCGTTGCGGCGTGCTTTGTATGTTTTGTCGGTAATCTTGTCACGTTATGGGGCGATACTGAAGCTACCTGGCTGCTTTAAAGTTGAAAGTGATTGATTATGCACTAAACAACGGCAACAGGGCCGCCGGTAGGCGCTTTGGAGTCGACGAGTTTTGTGTTCGCTACTGGTGACGGCAGCTGAAAGCCACCAAGACAGGTTGGGCCTGCCGTGTGCCTAAGACTGGGATTGATGGTAAACTTTATTTCTTCAGAAGGAAACTCAGGACAATTCTGTTAAATAGCCACCAGCCCAATACTGACATCCTATGCTTACTTTTTGAGGTCTCCAGTTGAGTGATGAACGCTATCACAATGCCCACAAGCTTTGCGTATGGTATTCTCATTCTGCACTATTTGCTTGCACTTTTTGTGTATCAAATAAATCTTGCCTTATGTTGAACCTCAGCTTTTATTATTGAGGTAAATTTTAATTAGTACTTCTCAAAGCTTGCTGTTAGTTGCTGGTGTGAGAATCCCGATTTGTGGCCACTTTGTTTTCTTTTTCGCTCTGTACGTTTTCGTGGAAAGTTTTTCCCGCGTAATTATCGCACCTCCCCAACTTTGCATCGTTTTTTTGCCGAAAAAAGTGCAAGGATTATGCGAGTAATTACGGTAGCTTTTTTATATCCAAAATTCGTTATTAAGGTTTATTCGTAACACTATATCTATTGCAAGACTATTTTTCAGTTACTTTGCTATAATTGATATTTCGTTGTATCCGGGTTCATTATATCAAGTTCAAGTGTAAATTAATTTCAAAAGGCGAAGCGACCTACCTTTTTTTGTGTGTGTGTGACTACCGCATTTTTCGCTCATACTCAAAAAGTTTTCACAAAATTTGCCCCGTGTAGTATATGCACCCCCAACTTTGCTCCGATTTTTCGAGAAAAAAAAAGCGTCCTATACGCGAGTAAATGTGGTAGTTCCAGCAACCGGTTATTCTACCACTATGGATTTAAAGGACGCCAGACACCAAAATTGAAACCTCAAGATGTTTGTGTTGTTTGATTATCCTGCATACGGAGGCACTTCTTATCAATTATTAGTGCTGGAAGTTAGCTCTAAGATTTTATATTGGTTTTGAAGTAAGCGGGAGTCCTCATCTGAGTTGGCAGCTCCTCATGACATTGCTACAGGCATGACGTACACCGAGGCCCCGTGTGACGTTCCATGAGTAAGGTGAGTGTAGTTGACATCAGAGAACACTCATGGGCAGTGCACAACGGCCCAATTGGTACTCAGCAAGAACTATTGTTCGTCACCCTTCTTGCTCTATTGTCGGGCTGCTCACAAGGTAGTTTTGGCTGCTTACGGAAGCAATGCTTTTTTTTTCCTTTTTTCAACAGGGACACCCTCAAAGCACCCGCATCATTTCATTCTTCCCCACGCATGGTTCCCCCGATCTACACAAACATAATGAGGTGAAAGAGGTTAAATGCAAAGACGCAATGTCAAGGACTCCTCTCAACTGCACACTTTTCTGTCTGTTCCAATCGACGTTGTCTGCACGCAGGCCACCAGCAGGTGGCAGATGGCCAAAGGTCAGCCACTCACTGCCTTCGTGGCGATACTGCATGATGGCCCCCTTGGGCACCGAGATGGTGGCCTTGCCGTATGAAGGTGATGGACACGGCAGCTGTGGAGCCCCACCACCCATCGAAGGAGGAACCGGGGCAGGAACGCGTGGCACTCGAACAGGCATGCGGGGGTTCACGGTCACCGCCCGTGGTCGCAGGCGCACCACACCCGGCTCGCCAGTCATTGCCACGGATGCTGATGGCACTGCACCGGTATTGCAGAGCATTATGTTGAAGTTCGTTGAACTGATGTGTTTCGATTCTGGCAAAGAATACAGCAGCCCTGGTATTAGTTAGCGAGTTAAAGGTTAAAAAGTAGTAGTGGTGAATCACCAACCAAGTCCCTTAGATCCTTATGTATTCGCTGACTGCTTAAACTGTAGCGTCTAGTCTCAGACATAACGGTTAGCATGTATTGTGATAATCTTTGGTCACATAGAGATTGACTGCACCACTTGACTTATTACGTAGCTGATGTCAAAACGTGCTGCAAACACATGCTGCTACCCGCATTTCACCTAACTACAAAGATTTCCAAATCGGTGATTTTGACTTCAGTGTGATTCGCCGATTGTAGACGGTGATGACAAGCAACGTGGAGCAGAACAAGAATGACATGTGCCGGGTTCCTGTGCATGCCAAAACAAGAGTAGCAGGCACAATTCGTGTATCAAATGGGGACTGCCGACAGAAAGTAGCCTTTTTGCAAAAGCCCAGATTTCATATGGTAGTTAACTACCCCAGTCATCGATCAGACGTGCAAGTCTTCTGTCACAGAATGAAGATCTTGCCTTCTTAAGCGATAGACTGCATAATTGAAAAACACACATTGAAATCCCAACTGCCGAAATCGCAAGCCACACACCTGGAGTGGTGACAACAGATGTGACACTGGTCAGGGCGGCAGGGGAAGAAGGATGAGCGGCTGAGGAAGCTTGTAGGCCCATGACCACAGGTGCCTTGCCCTGATGAACAAGTGGTGCTGTGCCCGGTGCAGAGACTGTCTTCACCACGGGCACACTCAGGTGTGGACGTTGCAAGCCTGAAGACATGGGGCTGGATGCTGCCGTGGTGGACACTAGGATCACCTGCAGTAAGCACGAAAGATGTCGGCACAAGTGTAGTACGTTTCTGTATCGTTTGCACTTGAAGAGTTTGATCTCTCAGTACACTAAAAAAAAACTGCACACTATGAAATATCCTTCTTTCAAGTAAGAATAATTGCCCTCTGGTGTACGCATATTTCCTTTCATAAAAACCTTGCACTGATTGCTTTCATATCCAAAATGCCATGTCAAGCCAATAGCAAGCATGCCATTCATGACCTGGAAGTACTGAGCGCACATTGACAGGAAAAGGAAAGGCATCCCAAAGGGTGAAAGACTTTTGGAGTGTAATTTGAAAAAGAAAGGTCAGGATCAAGATACGCATAGGAATAAGCTAAATTGGGTGAGCTAATGAGTGCTTGCATAACATAAAAGTTACACACGAATGAAGAGAATAATACACAATTTTGTTATGGGGTCAGAGACTTCTGTATAAATGCAATCACAGAGGAACAACCTTAGGCGAGAATCACAATGGCTGATAGGCACACTCCTGCTCAGGGCCCCATGAGAATGTGGTATCCTTCTTCAGCAAATCTGTGAGTGGCCTGGCATCGTCGGCAAAGTTTTTCACAAAATGATGAAAGTAGGAACATAAGCCGATGAAGCTCTGGACGTCGGATGTAGAACAGGGCACCGGAAAGCTACGGACGGCGCCGATCTTTTCGGGATCTGGTTGGACGCCATGGGCGTTTACAAGATGACCCAGAATGGTAATCTGATGGCGGCTAAATTGACATTTCTTGGAGTTTAGTTGTAGCCCAGCTGTTCTGAAGACTGCGAGAATTGCAGCGAGACGAATCAGGTGGCTATCGAAAGTAGATGAACAGACTATCACATCGTCTAGGTAACAGAGACAAGTAGACCACCTATAACCACGCAAGAGAGAGCCCATCATTCTTTCGAATGTGGCAGGGGCGTTACACAGTCCAAAAGGCATCACCTTAAACTGGTATAAACCATCCGGTGTAATGAAGGCCGTCTTCTCGCGGTCCATCTCATCAACAGAAATCCGCCAGTAGCCGGACCGAAGATCAATAGACGAGAAGTACGTAGCGCCCTGCAGGCAGCCCAACGCGTTATCGATGCGTGGTAGTGGGTATACGTCTTTTCGCGTGATCTTGTTGAGGTAACGATAGTCAACGCAGAAGCGCCAGGTACTGTCCTTTTTCTTCACAAGGACGACAGGGGAGGCCCAAGGACTACTTGATGGTTCTATGACACCTTTGTCGAGCATTTTTTTCAACTTCCGCTTGGATAACTCTGCGCTCAGTCCGCACCACGACCAATCCGCACCACAACAACCGTCGCCGCCGGGTTGTGGTGCGGACTGGGTCATTCTGCAAACATTGACTGCGGTCAATGTTTGCAGAATGCGGCGACTTTTTACTTGCTCAAACTGACGACACTTTTTGATGATCGCGTCCATGGTGGAACAGCGCCTGCACAGCAGGAGATTGAGCGCGTCGTCCGCAATCCCTCTCAGGACATGCTCTACCTTGTCACCTTCTGTCATGTCGCTTTCGGCCTTTCGGCAGAAGGCCAGCACGTCTTTAATGTATGCGAGGCATGATTCCGTTGGGGATTCGGCACGGCAGGCCAATTCCTTTTTGGCGGCGATCTTACGACTGGCAGTTTCGCCAAACACCTCTCGCATCTTTTCTTTGCATTGGTCCCAGCTAGTGAGTTCTTCTTCATTGTTTTCGTACCGCACCTTCGTCGTGCCTCTCAAGTAAAACAGCACATTAGCCAACTGAAGTGTGGGATCCCATCTGTTCGGCACACTCACTCGTTCGAACATGGCCAACCAATCGTCAACGTCGACGCCATCAGTCCCGCAGAATGTACCGGGATCCTTAAGTGGCGTGAAAACGTATGGTTGCGACGCCGTGTTCTTCGGAGACACTGACGTTGACGCGGAGGGCTCAGCATTGGCCATGGCTGGAAAACCGATGCGGCGTCCGCTGCGAAGCTCCATTGCCTGATGGTTACCCAGCACCTCCACCAATATGTTACGGGGTCAGTGACTTCTGTATAAACGCAATTACAGAGGAACAACCTCAGGCGAGAATCACAATGGCTGATTGGCACACTCGCACGCCTGTCAGCTGATTCTGTCCTTCCTCTTCCTTTACTTCATTTCCGTAATGATATGAATGCTCGCTTCATGTGTTCTGCCTTCCGTTGCTGCCTAGTTGGTGCTCAAATGTCAAGAAAGTGTGCTCTTGTTAGCGTACCAATTATTACATAAGATAGTCCTTCCCTTGGAGATTGCCATTACATTTCACCCTCCCTACATAAAAGGGCACTGATCTCACGAGCGAGAAATTCACGTTTCAGAATCAGGGAAAGAATGACATTTTTTTATGACACCATGCAGCATGGCTTTGCAATATTCGTCATGAAGAAAGCAGCCAGTGTGTTTGAAAGCTGTATAAAAAGTACTTTATTGCTAAAGAGAGGTGTGCTGCCAGAACCTCAGAAACCCAAGCGATGCACACAAACTTACTACTTCTGAACAGATTCAGGAAAGGTTTCTCACAAGCATCATCGATGTTTTCTTTTTTATTACTGAAAGAACGAAGCCTCAGTGAGGTCCCTCTGCAGAGATATGATGCATCAAAGAAAGGTAGTCATGAAGTACAGTCGTACTCCGCTACAACGAATGCCGCTTCAACGAAATTTCCACTACAATGAAAAATTCACGATTCCCATCAGTGGTCCATAGGAGTCAATGCATAAATGTTGTCGCAACAACAAACACTTTTTTTTTCAATCGTCCCGCTTCAACGAAATTTTATGATGCGATTCCATGCTCAGATACTTATTGCTATGCAGGAAACCGAATCTCTAACATTTCGATGCATTTCCAGAGCCTGACAAATGCGCCAAAAAAGTCTACAACACGCGTTGGCACCGCCAGAAACTGTCGCTATACCGCCGCTGTTCAGCCAGCATGGGTGCCACCATTGCTCGATAGTGATGGCAACGAGACTGCCCGACTGCCCTGCTTTTGCCACTGGCTTGCTTTTGAGCCGCAGATGATCTTAAGCTGAAGCTCAGTCGCTCAGTTCATGTCTTCCTTCATGCAGCTGCTGGGTGCAACCGTGGAACGATGTCTTTTCCGATTCCGGTGCTTATCATTACGTTCTCGCTTGGCCAGTGTGGTACTAACTAATCAGAGCTGCTGTTCGTCCGCATTATCAACAAAATCAGCTAGCCACGAGTGATGGATGATAAGAATGGTATAGAATAATGCAAAAGTCGTCGTTCCACGATACCCTGCCTCCATCTCGGCGTTGCCGGATACTTTTGATGGCAGACAGCTGCTGGTGTTAACGTGTTAATGCAACTGTTTGGTTTGTTCACGAAAGCGGTTTCAGGCGTTCTTTCAGCGTGCTTTTCACCATGGTCTTGCTATACATGGGTGAGAATCACGTCGCGACGCTGGTGGGAAAGAATAAGAAGCAGCGGACATTTTTTGAATTTTGAGAATAAACGTTCCTTTGTTTTCCTAGCTCAGATCACAATATTTTTTTTTTATTTCACTACAACGAAATTTTCGCTTCAACGAAATTTTTTCCGCGCCCCATCAGTTTCGTCGTAGCCGGGTCCGCCTGTAGCCAAGTGTTTGAACAAATGATTCTTCTGCTAGAGTCGACGTTTTGTTCCGACAGAAACAACTCCCCTTTTTGAAACAGCAGATACAGCCACCTGAGGCTCATGTTATTTGACCATTGTTGGATCCTTTGACGTAATCTTTTCAAGAGTCTTACATCGCAGGGTTCCAGTGTATTTCTATATAAACTATTCCAATACAGCATTTCGATCTTTAGCGATGGTTCTACAGACACAAAAACCTTCCTCACAGTTCCGTACCCTTTTGAAGACCTTTCTTCGCCATTGCGTAAGTTCCATGAGCAGGTTTCCTGTGCTGTTAAGTTTTGTTTTAAATGAAACGAAGTTTCGTGCTATGACAATACCTTACGTATACACTATTTCCAGAGTAAACTGTGAGATGGCTCAATTAAAAACAGCTCGATTTCTTTTGATGCACCATCGGTACAAAGCAAAATTCATTCTCCAAACTAGCTTTCAGACAACACACAACGGAGTAGGCTTTTTCAACTCTTTCCTGTGATACTGCAGACCCAAACTTGCCCAAAGCATGTAACAAATGGTAGAACAATTGATAATGACCAGCAAAGCTATGTGATAACAAACGGTACACCAGCTCGCAAGTAAAGGAACACTTATGGCTAACCTTCTGAGAGCATGTTGGCACATTCGTCGTTCTTTGCGGCACCACAGGGACCCTGAGCTGCGTTGTGGATGCTGCAGGAAGGCTAACAACCTTCGTCGTCACACTGGGCGAGACGGAGGTGCTGGGAAGTGATGTAGGAACCACCACCTTCGTTACGACAGGGCTGTTGGTGGTAACCCGTGCAAGTGGGGCGGCAGTGGGAGTAGGCGCAGGAGCAGCCGAGGCAGGGATAGGCACAGCTGCAGCCGCCGTGTTGGTTGTGAGGGCGACCGTGGTAGGAGGGGATGTAGGCATGATCGCTGAAGCCGCTGCATTGCTGGTTGATGGCAAGGAGTCCAAACTCAGGGAGCGCTTCCTCTTGCGCAAGGTGTTGTCTTCATCTGCTGAAGAAACATCAGGAACAACTGCGAAAAAAAAAAGAAAGTGAAAGTGCAGTTGAAACACTATTATATCAACATAATCCAGTCAAGACCAAGACAAATGCTTAGGGAAAGCTTATTAGTATAGCAGAAGCTTGGACCTTCACAAAGCTCCTGACCAAAGTGCAACAAACTTCATACCATTCAACATTTGATCAGTTACTTTGCTATAGTGATTTTGTTGCTAGGCACATTTAAATTAGACAATGCCATAGATGACAAGGTAAGATACATTGCAAGTTCATTCCGAGAAAATTACAATATTTCTAATTACCCGATGACTGGCCTATCCCCCAAAGTGGGTGTGAGCCAACTGTTCAAGCGTTTTACTTCCACAACGGCAAGTTATAATAATACACATCACATAAAGCCAGCAACAACGTACGCCTTCCCAAAGGGCGTGTTCGGAAAAAAAAAGTCGATAATGTGCTTTTGGAATGAAAAAATAAAGAAAGAGCCCCGCCGCGGTGGTCTGGTGGCTAAGGTACTCGGCTGCCGACCCGCAGGTCGCGGGATCGAATCCCGGCTGCGGCGGCTGCATTCCCGATGGAGGCGGAAATGTTGTAGGCCCGTGTGCTCAGATTTGGGTGCACGTTAAAGAACACCAGGTGGTCGAAATTACCAAAGCCCTCCACTACGGCGTCTCTCATAATCATATGGTGGTTTTGGGACGTTAAACCCCACATATCAATCAAAATAAAGAAAGAGTGTAAAAAAAGAGGCAATAATAAGTAAGCACCCCTTACGCTTTTAAACGTGAAGCATTTCTTAGCGAACTTCGGCGACATTGTGCGTATCTATCCATCTAGCCGCCTACGACTTTTAACTCTCCTGGCCGTTTCGATAATGATATCCATACCAAACTTGGTATGGCATAACATGACTGTATGAACATATTTGACTGGTCATAACATGAAAATCATGACATTTGTGTCATGAATGTCATGTCACAAGCGACAGACCCTAACATGAAAATCATGACATGCGTGCCATATAACAACATGACTACATGCCACGCTCATGATGCGCTCGCGGCCGTTTCGCTAGCTTCACATGCACCAAAATCGGTGTTACGCGACGCGAACGGATCACATAGCCAAATGACACATACTAGCATGATAGCCATGACATGCGTGTCATGTCACAACCTGACTACATGCCACACTGATGATGCACTCGCGGCCGTTTCGCTAGCTTCACAAATGCCGAATTTGGTATTACTTGACGCCAATAGATGACGAAGGTATGTGACTGGTGCAAACATGATAATCATGACATGCGTGTCATGTGAGAACATGACTACATGCCACGCGACTACTGCGTCACGTTAATACATTTCGACGTGACACTGTGAGCGTGCTCGCCAGCGTTATTTCGTTGCATCACGCCGGTGTTGCCACGCCAGGCAACGTTCCTGCAATATACTCGCAGGCGCGCCCCCCGCTGCGTTGCTTTGACGCATGCGCGTTTCAGCGCATCCGGCGTCCCTCCGTCACAAAAAGAGGGAGACGCAGTGTTGTCTGGGTAACGCATCGGCGCGAAATGCAGCATGTCATATTTCGCGCCGGTTGCCATTGGGCCGCGCCGACAGACGCTGGTCGTGCCGGTCGTGCCTAGCGTCAGACTAAAGAGTTCTCGCATTTTGCTAACGTAGTGTCGCTGTGCCCCGTGTGCGTGCGCATTCACGCTACATTGGAATATATTGGGCCCTTCATGATGCACTCGCGGCCATTTTGCTAGCTCTACGTATACCAACTTTCGTGTTACGTGACGTCAATGAATGACAAAAGTATATAACTGGTGCAAACATGATAATCCTGACACGCGTGTCATGTAAGAACATGACAACATACCGCGCTCATAGTGTGCTGGCGGCCATATCGCTAGCTCCACATATACTAAATCTGGTATCACGGGACGTGAATATATCACGAAGGTAATGGTGCATTCAGACGACGGACCGAATCCCGATGTGGCGGGACAGACGGCGCATCACGTGACCTCACATCAGCGATTCCCCTCGTCCGCGCGGCTTGCGGACAGATGACCCCAACCTGTTCCTCACATCGGGATTCTGGCGGGAGAAAGCCGATACTTCAGCGGATTAGCTCGGGGTTTCTGGCAACCAGTACACTTTTCGTCTGCTCGCGGCATGTCCTCCATGGCTCGCGGACAGCTGCATGACTGGTCGGCATCATCTACGCTTGCGCAGGGTTTACTTAGTTTCCGAAGGCTTTGTTCTCAGGAGATTAAATACGCAGAAATCGCATTTGGTGGTTCGGGAAATGTCGCCGCCCTCGTTTGACACGCGAGATTCTTAGCCGTCATGGTGGTGAAATATTCTAATTTTTGCAACCGGCGACGTGCCGCTTCTAAAAAAGGATTAGAGACGCGTTCAGAAGTTCTACAAGTGGGGAACAGTGTAGTTGAAAGAACATTCTGCCAGCAACTCTCTTTTCTCCTGAAAGAATAAAACTCCTTGTTCATTTGTCACAACGCGACAGACATCGCAGTCAAGCGTCGCTTCTTGCGGGCATCCATCTTGAATACCGTATATACTCGTGTAAGGGCCGCCCTCGTGTAAGGGCCGCACCCCAACTTTGAAAGCGGATATTTCGAAAAAAAAAAAAACAAAAGTTCAAAATGTCCCGCCAGAAAAGTGTAGTTAGTTCATTTACAGCCAGATGGCGCTGCACGCTTTTCCGCTTTTATCTACTTCCGCCGACGCGCCGACCACGCTGTTGACAGCGCGCCGCCATATTTGCCTTGTGCGGCCTCTTTGTTGGCATCGTTCCTAGCATCGTGTCGATACGTTGGCAGCGCGACTTCAGATCGGTGTCGTCGGTGTCACTTTGTTGGTTGTAGTGAACCCTGCAGAAGCCAGCGCACGTGACGGACGATGGGCCGGCATCTGAGATCATTCACTGCAGCATTTAAGCTGCAAGTGATTGACTATGCCGAGAGCACGGGAAGCGGGAAGCTGGACGAAAGTACGACGTCGATGAGAAGCGCGTGCGTTACTGATGAATCAGAAAGATGCCTCGCCGCTACTAACAGGAGCCGAAGGCGTTTCGCGGGAAAAAGTGCAAGTACCCGCAACTCGAAAGCGAGCTCGTCAACTACGTCGTCGACACACGAAGGGACGGCTACGCCGTATCGACTGACATGATCGCGTCAAAGCCCTCAGCATCGCTCGCCACATGGAATACCCCCGGCACAATTCAAGGCAAGTCGGGCTGGCTACGCGTTTATGAACCGTAACCAGCTTTCTATCGGCGCCGAACGACGATTTGCCAAAACTGCCGCGCGAGTACGAAGACCACGTCATTAAGTTTCATCGCTTCGTGAATGCTCTCAGGAGGGAGCATGAATACGACCTGTCCCAAATTGGGAATGCGGACCAGACACCTGTGTGGTTCGATGCACCGGAAAGCACCACAGTGGATTTAAAGGTGCGAAAGTGTGTCTGTGGCACGACTGGTGCAGACGCCAAAGGTGCACTGTGATGTGTGCATCACGGCAGACGGCAGGGGCTTCCGCCGTACGTCGTATTTAAAGGAAGCTCTCCCAAAAGAGAAGTTCCCTCAGGGAATCGTCGTACGTGCGCAAGAGAAGGGCTGGATGTCCGAGGAACTGGTCGTTGACTGGATTAAGACCGTCTGGGCAAACAGACCTGGAGGGCTGTTACAACGGAAAGCCCTCCTTGTTTTGGACAGCTTAGGGGCCACTTGACCGACCGCGTCAAGAACCGAGTTGCCGCAACTCGTACGGACTTGGCCGTCATTCCCGGTGGCCTGACGAGTGTGCTGCAGCCGCTCGACGTATGCGTCAACAGACCATTCAAAGTGGAATTTCGCCGATGTTACTCTGATGGATGCTGGAGGCGTCCACGAGAAGACCCTACAGGACGGCTGAAGCGGGCGTCGCTCCAACAGTGTGTGAATGGATTTTGAATGCGTGGCGTGCCATGTCAGTAGAAGTAGTTGCTAAAAGCTTCAAGGTAACGGGAATTTCGAACTCCATGAACGGCACCGAAGATGACCGTCTCTGGGAAGACGCGGACGCCGAGGCGAGCTCCTCCGAGAACGAGGACAGCGAAATGGAATCCGAATAAAAACATTTCTGGCATGTCATTTGTGACTCTTGCACTCTGCTACTGTTGCAAAACAGTACAGACCTTTGGCCTGTACTGCCTGTACTAAATCGGCCTGATTCGTGTAAGGGCCGCACCTAGCAAAATTTTCGAAAAAAAAGTGCGGCCCTTACACGAGTATATACGGTACTCTAAAACCGGTCTGCTGCCAGCAGGCGCAGGTGAGCGCCGAATCTGCTGTCGAGGGTAATCCGGCTGTTTTCTCCTAGAATACCGTCTGTCGTGTGGATGCACCTGCCGACGGATCATCCACGAATTAGCTGTCCGCGCCCACGACACTAAAGTCAAATAACAATTTACGCCAGAGTGAAAGCTCAATGTATGATATCTAAAATGACAATATTATCAGCAGCAGTGCCCTACTTACTGAGAAATTAAGGTAAATGCACAAGAATACATGCGCCGCAGTAGGACATTCTCAAAATGATCCCTATGATGTCAGACGAACCACCTACAATTAATCACTAGTAATCGATCCAGCTGCACAAAATAAAGAACCTCCCATGCATCAAGAGACAATAAAAAGCCGCTTGTTCTTTTCTGCTAGATTCATAGAATAAAGAACTGCTGGACGTCACTATGGGGAATGACGCGAGTGGTTTAAAAATTCAATTTTCGCATGGTTAAACTGGGCAGGCTGTGCCATCTAGCGGGGTCCAGTTGAACCAAAACACGTCTGCCATCTTGAACCTAATGGCAGGAAATTGATCAATGCCCGTTGTTGCTGCTGTGGCTCCGCTGCTTTCGTTCTGCTGCTACTAGTGTCGTTGGCCGGGCAGTAAACCGGGCAACGTTGTGTAAGGCAACAGTGACATCGGAGGGTCCGCTTCTTCAGGTGGGTAATTCGAAGTGCACTAACTCGATGCGGGCCACTAAAACGTCATTTTATTACAAAATAAGTCCTTCCTTGGCACAAAAGTAACACTACTGGACCTGCTACTTCCACAATCATTATCTTTTTAATAGTTTCCTTTAGTGTCCCTTTCACCAGTTGTGCCTAAAAAAAAAGGTTCCCCTTCTTTTATTAACCCCATCACACAAAGTGCGTGGATAAAGCCTAGTGAGACAGTGTATTTCAAAAATAATAAGTGCTAGACTAGTGCACTTGCACGCACAACATCACGAGTGGATTCAGCAGCTGCTAATATCGAAAAAAGCCAAATGTTAATGCCAAGGGCACCAATGAGAGCACCAAAAGTGCAGTACACTCACTCGGCAGAGGTTCTGCCTTTGCAACAGCTGGGCTTGGCACCTTAGGCATCGAGCCACTGGCGGTCGGTGGCGTCCACGCCGCACTTGGACGCACAACTGCAGCTGCCTGTAATGGCCGGGGCGACGTCGTCGGACCATTGAGCCCCGAACATGATGGCGTGGCAGCGCTGGGGCTGTTCCCAGTAACTGTGACACAAAACAATAATGTTTCGAGAAATGCCTTACTTGCACTAATTCGCACTTCGACAATCCGGAATCTCTTGTAAAAATTTTTTAGCACCAGCTTTGCCGAGGGTTTTAGGGTGCTCAGTGCTGCTCATGCTGGCTCAGAATAATCTCTATCCTCTGATATTGCAGTGTTATGTACTGTGGTGCCGACGTCAATATGAAATCCAGGCAATTTATCAATATTTTACTAACTAAAAAAAATTTCATTGGAATTTCAGTACTTACAAGGTTGAGATTTGGATCAATTAATATTGAAAAGGACAAGAGGTAAAGAAAGCCAGTTCCAGAATGCTGTATTGAAAGTGCTGTCACTGCCCATGGGGCAGCTAAAATATTTCAAAGAGGTAACAATATGTACTACATACAATGAAGCATTCATAGAAGAATACAGCATACAATCTGTCACATATTCACTACGAAACTTGGAAAGAGATTTCACCTCAACTTGCAGCCCAATCTGCATCCCTACATGCAATACAGTCGAACCCCGCTACAACGAAACTGACAGGGCGCGGAAAAAATTTCCTTGAAGCGAAAATTTTGTTGTAGCGAAATCGAAAAAATATAGCTGATATGAGCTAGCAAGACAAAGGAACGTTTATTCTCAAAATTCAGACAATGTCCCCTGCTTCCTATTCGTTCCCAGCAGTGTCACGACGTGATTCTCACCCATGCATAGCGAGGCAACGCTGAAACAACGCCTAAAGCCGCCTTCGTGAACGAACCAAACCGTTGCATTAACACGTTAACACTAGCTGTCCACCGTCAATAGTATCTGACAACGCCGAGATGAAGGCATGATATCGTGGAACGGCGACTTTTGCATTATTCTATGCCATTCTCATCATCTATCACTCGTGGCTAGCTGATTTTGGTGATAATGCGGACGAACAGCTGCTCTGATTAGTTACCACACTGGCCAAGCGCGAACATAATGATAAGCATCAGAATCAGAAAAGGCATCGTTCCGCGGTTGCCCCCAGCAGCTGCGTGAAGGAAAACATGAACTGAGCGACTGAGCTTCAGTTTCGGATAGTCTGCGGCTCAAAAGCAAGCCAGTGGCAAAAGCAGGACAGTCGGGCAGTCTCATTGCCATCACTATTGAGCAATGGCGGCACCCATGCTTGCTGAACAGCGGCTGTTTCTGGTGGTGCCAACGTGTGTTTTAGACTACGTTGAGGCATTTTCAGGCTCTGTAAATGCATTGAAATGTTAAAGATTGGGTTTACTGCATAGAAATAAGTATCTGAGTTAGGAATTGCATCGTAAAATTTCGTTGAAGCGGGACGATCGATGAAAAAGTGTTCGTTGTGGCGACAATATTTATGCATTGACCCCTATGCACTACTGACAGGGAATTGTGAATTTTTCGTTGTAGCGGAAATTTCATTGAAGAGAGGTTCGTTGTAGACGAGTCTGTTGTAGCGGAGTTCGACTGTAAAAAGTTGTAAAGATGTACTGTATAGTAGAACAATACTAAGAAGCCAGTGGAATATTGAGGCTTGTACAAGGTCATTAGTGGCCAACAGCAAATGTCACTTAATGCTCAGAGGTATCTGTTCTGGAGTGCGTGAATACTTTCTTGTAATTTTTCTTTTTCTGGGTTCAATATAGGGACGTTATTCTCTGTACTCTCTTCTTTGTAGTGGGTACCTGTAGCTTAAGGGCATGCCAAGGCTCAGTGCACAATCACTAGCCCACACCAGAACGTGTTCAAGAACACATGTAGCAAATATGCTATATAACCACCACCAAACAGCTGCCCACATTTTCAGGCCCCTTTGGCCTATGGCCGCCACTCACATTGAAGCAGCTCCTTTTCAAGGGCGGCTGCGACGCTGGAACTGGTGGGAGAGGCAGCGGCGCTCTTGGCCGCTTGAGCACTCGCCAAACTGTTCGCGACGCTATTGGCCAGTGCACTGAAGGCCGTCTGCGGCACTAGCCGGGGCATCAGTGGCACCAAGCGTCTTCCTTCCATGGCCCAGTTGGATGACGTGTTGGGGCCCACAATGCTGGAAGAAACAAGAGAGCATTTAGTATTCATTCGTCTTCCCTCAGAAAACCAGTCTCGTAAATAGCTTCTTTCTATAATCAAGGTATCAGAAAGCACTCACATGGGCTGTGCCATACTTTACCAAGTAACGAATGCTACAAAGATTTTTAGAATTCGTCGAGTACAAGCGAAGTTATAGGGATCTGTCGTAACCTTTCAGCACTTTCTCCTGTCATCCCAGGGAGCATGCTGAAAGCTACATATTAGATGCCAAGGGGAGGAGAAGCTAAGTCTATATGCCAGCAAGCGCAACCACCTTGAGCACTATCTTTTCTTTCTTTTAGGGGCGAAGCTCCTTATGGCATGGCTTGTGCTTCCCTTGTTGTAGTGTGTAACCGACGGGGGCACATACCCAAAAGAGCGGTCCTTAGTTTGTCCGTTGGATGGTGGCACTTTTATATGATGAATGCAAATGAAAAGATGTGAGATGGCTGTACTTGGAGTGTCCACTAGATAGACGGACCGACATACAGGTGGACGGACGGACTAACGGATGCACAGACAGACAGATAGAGGGGCGGACGTGCGGATAGAAAGACAGACAGAGGGACGGCCGCACGAACAGACGCACGGACAGATGAACACAGACAGACGAACGAACGGACAGACGGAAGAACATATGGACAGACGGACGCATAAACGGATGGGCACACCGACAGTCACACGGATGGATGGACGCATGAACGGATGGAAGCAAAAACGAATAGCCGGACGGAAGCACAGACGGATTGATGAACGCTTCGCTCTACCAATCATCATTCCCGCCGCGAATATGCTGTGATTTTTTATGTCTTTGAAGGCGCGGCTCACTCTCAGTGTGATCATGAGCACACTGGTGTAATTTTAGCCTTATAGAGCGCAATGCGGGGCCTTAAGGTATGAGGCCAAGTAACAGAATTTTTTTTTTGAAAAGCAATAATCACTAGAGATTATTAGTCTGCAATATAAAACACATTTTTTAGGAACACGTCACCATTGTAAAGCAAGTCATATGTTTTGTTCTTTTTTCATTATAATTTCATAAAGACGTGTGCCTTTCACGAACACTCGTAACTAAAGTTGCCCTCATTAAAAAAAATTTACTTTTTTACGGGGACATGTAAAAAGCTTTGACCTGTGCAATGAACCAAAACAAATGAGATATGATGAATATTAAAAAAATTCTACATAGATAACCAAAAGGTATGCACTAGCACTAGCGGCACCTTCGTAAAACAGGCAGCCATATTAGGTAAATTTTGCGGCACAGCACTATCTTGCTTATTGAGGTTCACATCATGCCTACTAATTTGATGAGTAAGTGTGCCAAGTTTAAATAAAAAATGCTTAATAGCAAAAGAATTAGGGCTGTTTGCATATAGAAAGATACGAGGAATATAGGTACAGTGAAAATCAACCAAAAAAATATTCAAAACAGGTGCAGTGCTTACACAAGGGAATAAGGAGGGGCAAAATCCACAATATTTGTAGCAGTTCTGTCATGGACCATACTATTACGAGCCTTTTTTCTACCAGCAACTCTTTTTTTTTTTTCTAGCTTGTTTTGCAGCATCAGTGCCATGACGGGGTGGTTTCGCGCTGCGGTGCTAATGATTTTCGAGGCACTCTTTTCCGGTGTAGGGCCCAGCGTTAATCTGAATTCCCTAAAAATATCAAATATGCTTACGTTGAAATTATTTAAATGACAAATGTAGTCAAACAAAGCAAGTTTGATACTTCACAGGCTGACAACACATGTACCACTTTATGCATATTGCTAGGGAGCAGTTTATTACATTTATAATTAAAAATGATGTGATAACAATGCTTTCAAAGCATTATGACATGTTCACATTTGATATGATTGCTAAATAATTAACAAAACACTACTTTCAAGCTAATCTTATGATACACACAAAACTGGCACTTTCACTTTTGGTTTCAGTGGTGATGAGTGGTCTAATGTTCTTGCTTGCATTTTTTGAAAGAAACTGCATAGACGGAAACTTTATGCAGCAAAATTATGGGTAATAGATTGTGCAATGAACATAACCAAAGACCAAAAAAACAACATCTAAGAAAAATTAGCTTTTTTCACTCAGCCTCAAACCATGAAGCAGTTGCGGCAGTTCACAATGCTCCATTCAGGTAATGGCCACGTCTTCGAGCTTATGATGCAGTAAAAGTTTAACTTACAGCACCATTCACAAAGAGAAGAGCGAGCGATTTCTAGCTGAATTTTACCTTGGCTCCTAAAGTCGATACCATGCACTGGGCAATAATGTCTGGCTCACAAGTGTGCAGGAGCCTTGACTACCGATCGGTAGCATTATGTGACAATTGTTGAAGTGTTGTCGGGCCCTTCAAGCATCCGATCGGTAGCTTTATGTGACCATTGTTAAAGTGTTGTCGGGCCCTTCAAGCATCAGATCTATATTCCTAAGTCTTTATTAGGCATCAGAGCTATAAAGGTCACAACTTAGTCATTGACAGCTCCATTACCCTCATACATGCTGCATGGATGCAGTGGCCTAAGCATTAAAATTACACTCAAACCTCTATATAGCGAACCCGGATATAATGAAATACTGGCTATAACAAAGTAAATAAAAATAGCTTTGCAATAGATATATTGCTAGCAATAACCCCTTATAACAAATATTTGGATATTACGAACTTATTTTCGTGTGAGATGCAACTTTGCTACAGTGAAACCTCGTTAAACCGTACCCGCGTAAACAGTACTTTCATTTGAAAAGTAGTGAAGTCAAATCCCCGACTCGGCGGCCATTGAACGTGATACATTTTGTATCCGCATAAGCCGTACCAGCTTATCGCCTATGTATCGGTTAATAAGTAGTTTTTCCAATTTTCATTGCGCACTCGCCATGGCATGTCGTTCCCCACTGGGCGTCCCGACAGAACAGCAAGCCCCAGAGATCCAAACACGCCTCGCTTGTTCGTGTTGATGATGATGGCGGCTGTATTGGTGAGCGCCATCTCTTGGATTTTTCTGCAACAAGAAACACTCGGCCGGCTAGGCTTCTGGTGTTGTCCACGCGATGGTGCTTTGCACGAACACGCAAACACCGTGTGTGCTTGCTTTGCTTTGTTCCTTTGGCGCCGTGCAAAGGTGTTCTCTGGTTGATCCGTGCCGCACAGCTCTCGCGTCATTTTTCACGTGTTGTGTATGTGTGCTTGTGCTGCTTCGTACTTGTGTCATGCTGAAGCTTGGACAAAAGCATCGTGTGCTGAAAATAGAGGAGAAATTGGACATAATTCGTGCTATTGAAAGTGGCACGAACAAATAGGCACTGGCACGCGAAAAAGACCTGCCGTTAACCACGGTGTGTGGAATTTGGAATTCCAGAGAGAAGTTGCTCGGCAGTGCTGCTGCAACTGCGAAAAGGTGCCAGCTACGGCGTTTTGGGATGTAAAGGAGGCGCTGGTGAAGTGGCTAAAAGCTGCACAGTCAAAAAATCTGCCTATCAGTGGACCCCTGCTTGTGGAGAAGGCCCTGGTTTTTGCCTCACAGCTCAACCATGACAACTTCGTGTGCAGCAATAGCTGGCTGGCCAGATTTAAGGCGAGGCACAGCATTACCACGAGGACTGTTTCGAGAGAAGGTGCTGCTGCTGACGTGGATGGCGCGGAGCAGTGGCAAAATGCTCAGCTGAAGAACATCTTGGAAGACTACGCACCTGATGACATCTTTAATATGGATGAATTGGCGCTATTCTTTAAGCTGCTACCAGACAAAACGCTCGCATTCAAAGGCGAGACGTTCACCGGAGGCAAGCATGCAAAAGACAGAGTATCAGTGGTGTTTTGCGTAAAAGTGACTGGAACCGACAAAACTCCGCTCCTCGTGATTGGAAAGTCGGCAAAGCCTAGATGTTTCAAAGGCGCCCGGTTGCCATCAGGGGTCATCTATCGCAGCAACACCAAAGCATGGATGACGGCAAAACTCTTTGAGGAGTATGTGCACCTCATCGATCGTCGTTTTGCGGCTAAGAACAGAAGAGTTGTTATTATTTTGGACAACGCTTCGGTGCACGTTGCCCTGGACAACCTGACGGCTGTGAAGTTGGCGTTTCTGCCACCAAACACAACAGCGATTGCCCAGCCCTTGGACCAAGGCATCATTCGAGCTGTAAAACAGCTCTACAAGAAGAATCTGCTGCGCAGATTTCTTCTCACCATTGAATGTGGCAAATTATTCTCCCTCGACCTGATTGGCGCGATTCAGCTGCTCGAATACTCGTGGCGGCAGGTTGACGCAACGACAGTTCAAAATCGCTTCAAGCGTGCTGGCTTCAGTGTGTGTGCGGGCGACGCAGATGACGCCAGTGACATCATCGACCAGACTTCGGACATCGTAGACGAAGCTTGCAAAACTCTGCTAGCTGAAGTGCTGGAGCGGCCAAGGCGTTACGGAAGGCATTTCCTTCCCCGACTTCTCAGACGCAGACAGCGATGTGCAGACATCTCCGGACATGTCCAACGAAGCCATTGTTGCCTTGGTTGTCGAAATGTCGCCAAATGATAGTGATGAGGACGACATGGAAAGCGACAACACGGGTGATCCAGGTCCGACAGTGGCCGAAGCTGCGCATTGCGTCAGCGTCATGCGGGTATTTGCCCAGAACAGGGGGCTGGCGGGAAAGCCGGCTCACAACATAAATGAGTTTGAGGCCACTGTCGTTGCTGCTAGGCCGCCGCGTCGTCAAATGAAGATTACAGACTTTGTCAGGCGAAGTTAATAAATTACTGCACGTTTTTTGTTCTTTCATCGCACTCCTTGAAGGTTTCTTTTTGACAGGTAAGTGAGCGACCTGACGCTATTTCGGTTAAGCAGTACTATCGTTTAGTACGTACTTTTTCCAAGCTCTGGCCAACTACGGTTTAACGAGGTTTCACTGTATAACGAGGTTTGAGTATACCACATTTGAATTATGTCCATTATTAATGATATTGGTCACACCTTTTCATTTTAGTGAAAAATCAGTGGAACTACATTTTTTTAAAGGACAGCTCCTATGCGCAAAGAAAGTGCTATTTGGCCCTTCAAAAATTCACAAAAGTAAATAAAAATTCATTACTGCACTGTCTTCAAGTTAATGGGTGCCCAATGTCACACAAGGTACAAACATCAGTCAATAGAAAGCATGTGTGAAATTTCATTGCATTCTCTAGCAAAACACAATTTCGCATCTCACTATAAAAAGTTTCTAAACAGAGAGAAGAACTACACCGTAATTTCTCAAATACAACCCACAAAAAAAAAACGTAGAAATGAACTCATGAAGTGAACGTGCGAGTGACATGAACGTTTTTTTTTTTTTTTTCGCAGAGAAAATTATGAATGCCAGTTATACACAGGGGTGGATTATATGCAGGAGTGGGTTTTATGAGAAAAAAACACAGTGATTGAGAAAATAAAAAAGAACATGCTTACCGCTCTGCAATGGTGTTCAGTCGTTCATCATTCACAGCCCTCCGTATCTCCGCACGATGCCGTTCTAAGGATATGCTGCAGATAATGAACAAAACGAAGATGCAATGATGGCTGCCCAATCATCAAACGTGCAAATACTCTATAAGCCTGCTGTACAAGACAAATCCCGAATTAGCAATAAACATTGCACACGAGGCTTTAACATCTCCTAAAAACAGCATTACGATGTCCAGAAGGTGTAACCATGGTCACACAATGTACACAGGTGTCGAGTCTAAATTATTAATTACTGCCGAGGTTGGCACGACATGACTGTAATCAAACCCCGCAACCATCAGCTCAGCCAAGCACCGTAACCAGAGGACCCCAGCGGCAGCTAGAACTTGGAATTGCCAGAAATATTAAACGATACACGTGAACATGTCAACATTAAGTGTCAGTTCACAGTATTTTCTTTCCCCAATTTCCTTGCCAGCACAGACACAACAAAAGCGAGGCGGCCAACATTTCCAGCTGCCTCCCAGTGCCATGACTCACGATACTTCGAAAACTGAAGTGCAAACTATTGTAACAAGAAAGACACGGCAGCCTACTGCTGGCTGGTGGGTTGGCTTGTGGGGTTTCATATCCCACAGCGACTTAGGCTATGAGAGACGCAGAGGGCTCTGCATAATTTCAACCACCTGGGATTTTTTAACGTGCAGTGAAATAACGCAGAACATCGCCTCCATCAAAATGCGACTGCCATGGCTGGAATTGAGTTGCTTCTTTTGAGTGAACAGCTCGGTGCCGTAATCGCTTGGCCCCTGGGGTGGCTAGCAGTGGCTAATCTTGACGAGATACTTTGTGTGCCTGCAAACTGTGCCTCAATGTCTAACAGGAACACGGCATCTCTCTGTAGTCTACACTAGCCACTACGATTACCTATTCCATGTGGTGCAGAATGTCATATATGTGGCAAAATAGAACAGCGGAAAGTTACAGGCACAGTGACCTCCGAGATCAGAACGGCCAGTCAAGCCTGCGCAAATCGACACGAGAACAGCCCACAACCTCAAAAGCCATGTCACGCACGACCTTTTCTCTGCTATCCTTTACTTGCGGGTGTGCATTGCTGGTCTTTTCCTGCCATTTCTCTGCAGTAAGAAACAGTCTGAATGGTAATATACAGCATCGTGGTTATACAACTCGAAAATAATAACTAGCTGCACGGGTTAACAGCGTCAGATATTTTGTCGGTTTCTCGTGTCAGACAAATGATGGAATGACGAAGAAACAGAAGAGTAGACATAAAAGTTAACATGCTCTGTCCAAATCTGAATGAATAACATTGTGAACAAATGAATGCAGTGTTGTTATTATCCACATGTTATGAATATTGAAATATTTAGAGCTTCTATTGATTTTACAAAAGAAAAAGAGAAAGAATGTGCTCCTCTGACACCAGCATGATCCTGTTAGTCGACAATAACTTTCAAGCACGCTAAAATTTTGGCAAGGGAATGCTCCTGATGGAATGGTCCAATAACAGAAGCTTAAAGGAAATCTTTTTGCTCAGAGTTATTCAAGACCCCTTCAACTTACGTGACAATTAACTTCAAATGTAGTATAATCATATGTAATGGCAATTACATAACTAGAGCTCTAATCTGCAACTACCATGTCAAATACTGTAGAGACTCACGCTGAAAGCTACAAGCTCGATTTCGAAAAACAAAACTGAAAAAAAAAATCCTACCAACAAAAGTACATATTTCAATTGTTGGAAGCTTTAAACCACCAGGAATCTAATACGGCGTGGGTGGAATAGGAGATGACTTCATTTAACCAATGATTGCAATGGTGAACTGAGCGGTAGGAAGCAGGGGCAGCCATTTATACAATTGAAAAATGTGCATGAGTGAATAAATTTATTACAAAAACTATAGCATTCACTTTCGCGGTGGTCCATGAAAAAATATGGTGGATTACTGCGCAATCTATAGCACTTGTATGATTGCAATGGTGAACTGAGCGGTAGGAAGCAGGGGCAGCCATTTATACAATTGAAAAACGTGCATGAGTGAATAAATTTATTACAAAAACTATAGCATTCACTTTCGCGGTGGTCCATGAAAAAATATGGTGGATTACTGCGCAATCTATAGCACTTGTAGCCCAGCCTTGTATCAAGGCCACACATCGTCACGACACCAACAACCACGAGGAAAAAAAAAGTGTGGCCCTGCCATGAGTTTGCATGGCAACAACTCCAATTTGACCGCTCCTGCTCCATTCTTAGATGCCATCTTACCAGAGAATATTGCTCAGTTCTTGCAGTGTCTTTTTCTTGTCTTTGGTCAGCTCCCCTTGAGCACGAAAAGCTGACACCACAGCAGCATACGCCTCCAATTCTGGTACGGGACAAACGACAAATGCACACATGAGCACGAAGTTTCGGCACAGAAATACCTAACTAGGCTTAACACCTTCACCCTCATGGGAGAGAGGAGTAACCAAGGAAAGTGGATGGGCTGGGTAGGCTGCTGCCGAGTATACACACTCATACGTAATAGAAAAAGAACAAAGTTGCAACAACCTTTAGGCAGCTTCGAAATTCCAGTAGTGTTTGAACAGTTATATTATGCACAAAGTGAAAAGCTATATTATAGAAGCATCATGTGCAGGTTTATGCACTATATGAAAGCTAATCAAGGAATTTAAGATCTGAAAGAATGCAATTTTTGCCCTTGTACTAACAATGTGCACTTGAAGCAGGATGTTAGGTTACTGCCATAAAAATTTTCTTCTAGTTAACTTTTCTTTTTATGGCAGTAACCTAACATCCTGCTTCAAGTGCATATTGTTAGTACAAGGACACAAATTGCATTCTTTCAGATCTTAAATTTTCTTCTAGTTAACTAGGAGAGTCTGAAGGGACAGGGGTTAATCCCCTCTTTCCCCACCTCACCTGGTAAAACTGCCGGACTTTAAATAAAGTCTATTCATTTATTCGTTCATTCTTGTTAACTTCACCTCTACAGCGAGAATACTCATGGCACAGGAAAACAGATGTTCAGCCAAAAGGTTGAAGTGGTCAAAGTGGCAAGAAATCAGTTCTACTAGCCAAAAAATAAAAAAAGCGACGCTCCCAGCATCAGTTCTCGTTCAACGCAGACGCCATCCCTTGTCTCGAGGAAGTTAGCCACCGCGGCCTATCCATCGGAACTCGGTGCCTTGACATACGAGCACATTAAATGATTACCGCAATAAGAAAGAAACCGCAGTTAAAGGAGAGGAGAAGTAAAGGGCAGCTCCTTTGCGCAAAGAAAGTGTTATTTGGCCCTTGAACTTCATAGAAATAAAAAGAAATCATTATTACACTGTCTTCAAATTAAGTGTAAATTAAGAGAAAAGCACCTTTTAAGTGCCTACTATAGGGTATTATTCTGTACCTTAAAAACATGCATGCCAGAATTGCTGCTTATGTAAGTGTTTAAGTTGCATCTGCAAATTATCGCCATTAGTCACCTTCAACTGAATTTCAAACATCTGCAATGCTATGCAGTTTGAATGTTCAGAACTTGTAGCTATATCCGGTTTTTTTACTTGAAAAAAAAAAAACTGTCAAGTAAATATTGAACTCACATCTAGAAATTACGCTTTAACCAAAAGAGTTGAGCTCGTATCAAAATTATTGGGCCATACCAATGCCCACACATGTATACATAGACAAAATTAAAAAGTGATGAGCATCATAAATGTAGTGAATACTGTGCACGAAAACTAAACACTATTCACATATAATGACTAAACAAACAAAAATTGTTTGTAAGTGACCTCTGATTTGCTGGAAGCCCTGAAGAAGCCCTGCACATGCAAACAATAAGACTTCACAGAATAGCACAACTTTTCAAGTGAAGCTAAGAGTCAGCAAACGTGCTTCTAAATACTTGAAACCGTCAGCATATACACATGAAACAGTCATGTGGGAGGAAAAACAATTAAGAAAAGGGCCTCCAGTCTTGCCAAACGTTACACAATCGAACAAAAAGGACTAAACAAGAATGAATGCATTATTTTTAGCTTGCTCATGCTGTCGCCACTGCATTACCGAGCGAGGGTATAACTCCGACCCTGTTGCAAGTGGCACCTGTGAACTTCTTCTATCTACAGACTTGGAAGGGGTTGCGAGCCTTTGCGAGTGCTTGTGTGCCTTTAAAACCAAGCCGACGGAGCAAAGCTGGCACCACCAGTACATCTACCTCAAACAGCAAGACAAGAAATAACTGAACCAGTTGCATGGGAAGTTTGCGAAGCACTTCTCTGACACCGACTTGATAAAACCAGATTTTATTATTCGATTTCTGATTTCAAAAATAGTGCTTTTTACACCCAACCTAATGTAGTATAAGCCTTGCAGCCATAAAATTGCCCCATTGACCAAACTAATGCTGTTTGTCAAGGAGTTACACGTTAATTAAAACTTGGTAAGATTAGTAGAAAGATGGACTCAGGGATGTCACTGACCAATTAACTAAGTTCACCACTCTCTTGAAAGAGTCCAAAATCAGTGCGATGGCTTGACGTGTTTGGCAAGTACATATGCAGATGAAAATTAGACCTTTTACTTGCCGTCCAACAAAAATGTTGTTCCCATAACTTTTATGTGGTTCCTGTTTCTTCAAGCTAGTGAAAGTCTCAAGTTACAGAGTAGCTGTCAGTGCTTACACACCACATGATAATTGTTGCATCACTGTGCGTGAAAGAAAAAAAAAAGAAAACTGCTGCTGCCCTTGAATAATCAAAAACGTCCAACAAAACGTCCAACAAAAATGTTGTTCCCATAACTTTTATGTGATTCCTGTTTCTTCAAGCTAATGAAAGTCTCAAGTTACAGAATAGCTGTCAGTGCTTACACACCACATGATAATTGTTGCATCACTGTGCGTGAAAAAAAAAAGGAAACTGCTGCTGCCCTTGAACAATCGTTTCTGCAGCAGAATGCCACAAATGAGACCACATCATATTATTTACAATAAAGTAAGAGGTGCGAGTAGGCACTTTTTCTGTGTATTCTACAGTGCCCAGCCTTTACTATGATCATGCTGTAGCTAAAAGGATTCGACAGTGCTGGGAGGACTAAGAAGGAATAAATTAGCACGAACTAGATTGTTAGACTGCAATTCTAAGACTGTAAATAGATAACTGTGACATAGGGTGCAAACATAGGTATGCCAGCAAGAAGACAAGCACTCGCAGACAATGGCCATTTCAATTCTACAAACTTTAAAGCGAAAAGCTTGATCAACAGCTATCCTAGCCAAGCTTATTGTAACACTAGCCACCATCTTGCCCGTGCAGCTGAACTTCGCAGCGCAGCTTGGATTCTGTTTTAAGTGTGAATAGCCTATTTCCGAACACAAGATAAAGTAAATATAACTTGCTGCTTTTTGATGATGTGTCAAATCCCTCTTTGCCAGATGGCTTGAACAAGTTGGTTCTCATTACAGTTCTTTGAAATTGCTAAGGTAAGCTCAGAGATACATTAACAAATCTAAATAAACCTGAGCCACATTGCGTTCGATGACTGTGCTCACAGTCACCACAGCTGAGCATAAGCGGCACAGTGTGCTTGAAATCACAATCATGCCTCTCGAGTTTCTGTGCTGCAATCACACTCCTGCTACAATCCAGTAGCTCGCAATCACACTTTACCATTATCTAGACTGATTTTATACGTATGTACAAACTTGCTTTCACAAACAAAAAGATTTTGAAAAAAACTTTTTTAGCTTACGCATTGGTTCAGTTAGTATCATTTTCAGCTAAGATAACGAGCACGGTGATGTAAGCATAGTGTTGACTATTGCTCTGCTATGTTTGATGTGCTGTATAGTCGTTGACTTTAATAACTGCATAAATCTGCAAAAAGCTGTTCATGCTTTGCTTGGTCTGTTGGTGTGTGTACCACAGAAACAGTGTTTCCTTTTTTTTAATCAGAATTGCAGCTTCTAACTTGAAGCCTTGCAAGATGGCTACAAAGCAACGAGAGTATCCCAAACAAATGTAGAATAAGTACATCATTGCTGAATCGTAGAATCAGCGTCCTATTCTTCAGCTATAAAAACCGATCTTCACCTAAAGACTATAATGTGTAGTGGAGCATACGCACTAACGTGTATGCGCCTTCCAAAGAGAAGGAAAAACCCCGTGCTCTGATTGCACGAGAACCTGGGCCGCCTTTGCCAGACTTGTCGTACGGCCATTTTTCGTTGCGACATCGTTGCGACTTCTCCAATTCAATAAATGTCATCACATTTGGTGGAGGCTGCTGAGATCCCCAAGCAGACCTGGAGCTCCGCTCTCGCAAGTTGTCCGAGAGACCACTGCAAAACATGACTGACGCAGTCGCCAACCAGCCCATCCCAGCCCAGCCAGCACCACCGGCTGTCCCTTCTACCTGCCCCGGCGGTACTCGCCAACGGGACCCACCAATCTTCAGCGGCAGTGGTGAGCAAGACGTCGAACACTGGCTCTCCTTGTACGAATGCGTAAGCGCCAGCAACAAGTGGGACAACGACTCTAAGCTCACCTACGTTATCTTTTACTTGGCAGACGTAGCTAAACTTTGGTTTACGAACCGCGAAACCACCATCGCCAACTGGTCCTCCTTTAAGACACTCGTGACTGTAGCGTGACTGACCAGCGCCTGCACCACCGAGCCCAGCAGCCTGGCGAGACGTTTACTAGTTACATAGAGGACGTGCTCGAACTCTGCAGGCGTGTGAATCCATCTATGCCCGAAGAAGAGAAAATTCGGCAGATTCTCAAGGGCATCGAGGATGGCGCATTCCAGACGTTGCTAGCGAAAAGCCTGAACACGGTGGCAACCCTCGTAAGCCTCTGCCAGGGCTTTGATGAATTGCGCCGTCAGCGTTCCATCGCCCGACAGAGTGTCCCACCGCCGTATTCGATCTCGGCCGTCGCACTCACAAATGCCAACGTTTGCCAAGAAAGTCTGTCCAACCAGATCAAAGACTTCATCGGGGAGGAAGTCGCCCGACAGCTCTCCCTGCTGCCGCATAGCGACGCGCCCACCGCAAGCCTGCCTTCGACACTGCAGCAGGCCATACGCACTGAAATTTGTGATGTCCTCCCCACAGTGCAGGCCCCTTACCCATGCACTTCAGCAGCACCTAATCTCTCAGCTGTGGGCTGCGCACCACCTGCACCACCTTCACCTCTCAGCTAGGCAGCTGTGGTCGCGCGGCCCCCACCGCATCCAGTCGCCTTATCAGCTCCACCTCCTCCGGTCTTGCCTCCAGTTTACAGGCCCTCACCTCGCTTTTTCCGTCGATCTAATGAGTGGCGCACCCAAGACAATCGTCCTATCTGCTTCGCCTGTGGCATCGCTGGCCACATTGCACGCTTCTGCCGCCATCGCCCCACACCTGCAAACGCATACTTCGGAACTCCTACCTACACGCCGCAGCAGGCCACCGCATCTGCATATGAACAGAGGCACTCAGACTCGGATCGCCGCCCATCGACTGCTCGTTTCCCATCCCCTCGTCGCCGATCGCCATCGCCTATGCATCGTCGACCACCTCCTGAGGAGGGAAACTAATCAGTGCAGTTCCGGAGGCAAGAACTGCAACTTATGCGCAATTCCCAAGGCCTCCGTTTTCGCCGCAAAATGTTGTTGATGTCGATGTTGAGGGAGTCGCCACATTAGCGTTAATTGATACCGGGGCCGCCGTTTCTGTGATGGACGCCAAATTTTGTCGGAAACTGAAGAAAGTGACCACATCTCTCTGTGGCATGGTGCTGTCCACGGCTAGCGCGCAACGCATTTATCCCTCGCCTCTGTGTACGGCGCGCGTCGTCATCCAAGACGTTTTGTACGTCGTACAGTTTTTTGTTCTGCCATCTTGCTCTCATGACCTTATCCTCGGTTGGGATTTCTTATCACGTCATGAAGCTATCATCGATTGTTCCCGTGCCGAAGTGTCCCTTGTGCCAACATATGAATTTCCCCCACCCGACCGGTCTCCTCGGCTCTGCAAACTCATTGCTGATGACGACATCACCTTGCCCCCGGAAGCTTCGGTCCCTATAAGCCTTTCATGTGTGGCGCAACCTGACGCCACGGTGGTGTTTACGCCATCTCCTGTTTTTACTGAACGCAAGGGCATCGTTCTCCCATTTGCTGTTCTTACAATTGCGTCTGATTTAACCGTAATGCTGGTTACCAACCACTGCAACTACCCCATCGGCTTACTTCGTGGTGAAACGTTGGGAAATGTGCAAGCTGTCGACCATATCGATGATATTATTCTTCCCGACGAAACGCCATGTCACATTGCCGCAATAACTCATGCGTCTGAGCCATCAAGTTTGTCAGCCTTCGACAATGCTATTGACGCAGACCTTCCCCTCTACGTATCGCCGCCAACTTGTTGCTCTCCTTAACAAGTTTCACTCTTCTTTCGACTTTCAAGAACCTGCTTTGGGCCGCACCACGACTATCACTCATACTATTGACACCGGCTCACATTCGCCTCTGCGACAGCGTCCTTACCGCGTTTCCGCCGAAGAGCGCCGCGTCATTACGGAGCAAGTAGACGACATGCTTAAACGTGGAGTGATACAGCCTTCTCAAAGCGCTTGGTCATCACCTGTGGTTCTGGTAAAAAAAAAAGATGGCACCATTCAATTTTGCGTGGACTATCGCCGCTTAAACAAGATTACGAAGAAAGATGTCTACCCGCTACCACGAATAGATGATGCTCTTGACTGTTTACAAGGCGCCGAGTACTTTACATCCTTGGATCTGCGTTCTGGGTATTGGCAGGTGCCAATGGCTGAATGTGATCGCCCTAAAACAGCCTTTGTAACGCCAGATGGCCTATATGAGTTCAAAGTGATGCCATTTGGGCTCTGCAACGCACCTGCCACATTTGAGCGCATGATCGATACCGTCTTGCGTGCCCATAAGTGGAAAACTTGCATGTGTTACCTGGACGACATCGTAGTCTTTTCGTCTGATTTCCCGACACATCTTGTTCGCCTCCACGAGATTCTGACGTGTCTAACTTCTGCAGGCCTACAACTTAACTCCAAGAAGTGCCACTTTGCAGCACGAAAACTAACCATCTTGGGACATGTCATCACAAGAGACGGTGTTCTTCCGGATCCCGAAAAGCTTCGGGCTGTCGCTGACTTCCCGTTGCCCACATCACTGAAAGCCCTAAGAAGTTTCGTCGGTCTCTGCTCCTACTTTCGTCGCTTCGTGCGCAACTTCGCGTCCATCATCGCACCTCTCACGAGTCTGCTTTCCAACAGCAAAGGTATATCTGCATGGTCACCTGCATGTGACGACGCATTTCGACAGCTGCGCCGCCTGCTGACCTCACCACCCATTTTTCGTCACTACGACCCCGCTGCTGCCACACAAATTCACACCGATGCAAGTGGCATTGGTCTTGGTGCAGTTCTGGCACAACGGTAAGGCACCCAAGCTGAATACGTAGTCGCCTATGCAACTTAGAAGTGTGGCAGCTTGGGCTAGTTGGTACGGCATGACGATAGTTATAGCGCGAGAACAAAACGACGACACAGAGACGTGTCCTTCTTGTCTCTGTGTCGTCGTTTTGTTCTCGCGCTATAACTATCGTCACGCCTATGCAAATCGCGCTCTCAAGAAGGCTGAATTGAATTACTCCGTGACAGAGAAGGAGTGTTTGGCCATAATCTGGGCCTTGACGAAGTTTCGCCCGTACCTTTACGGCCGCCCTTTCGACGTGGTCACAGACCACCACGCTCTATGTTGGCTGTCCACATTGAAAGACCAGTCCGGACGCCTGGGACGTTGGGCACTTCGATTGCAAGAATACGACATCCGTGTAGTATATCGTTCCGGTCGCAAGCATGCGGATGCCGATGCACTTTCGCGATCGCCATTAACCCCAGATGTGGCTTCTTTGTCACCACTTTTTACCACCTTGTCACCAATAGACACCACTGACATGCTTTGGGAGCAGCGTAAAGATCCATACCTTGCATTGTTACTCGACTACCTTACCGATCCGTCTGCTGTCCCTTCCACGAGAGTGCTACGCGGACAAGCAGCCCACTTTTCCATGCGAGACAGCATTATGTACCGCCGCAACTACATGCCTGATGGTCGGAAGTGGCTCCTTGCTGTCCCAACTCATATGCGCTCTGACATCTGCATGAATTTCCATGCAGACCCTCAAAGTGCTCACGCAGGTGTCCTGAAAACCTACGAAAGGCTGCGCCAACGATATTACTGGCGAGGAATGTATCGCTTTGTGCAGAAATACGTTCAGTCTTGCACCACTTGCCAACAGAACAAGACACCTCCGCGGCACCTTACTGGCATGTTACAGCCGCTCCCATGCCCGGCTCGCCCATTCCACCGCGTGGGTATCGATCTCTATGGCCCCCTCCCATATAGTCGCTCTGGAAACCGGTGGATTATTGTCGGCGTCGATCATCTGACACGCTACGCTGAGACTGCAGCTCTACCGGCAGCGACCGCCCACGAAGTTGCACTCTTCATTCTGCGCAGCTTCATTTCTCCGCCATGGGGCTCCACGGGAATTACTCAGTGATAGGGGTCGAGTGTTCCTGTCGGAGGTCATCCAAGCTATTCTCGCTGAATGCAACATCATCCACCGGAAATCTACCGCATACCATCCACAGACGAATGGTCTCACTGAACGGTTCAACCGCACACTTGGCGACATGCTGAGGATGTACACCTCCTCCGACCACACTAACTGGGACGCTGTCTTGCCTTTTGTTACCTTCGCTTACAACACCGCGACGCAAGCGACTACCGGTTTTTCCCCGTTCTTTCTGTTGTACGGCCGCGAACCATCCCACCCACTCGACACCATACTCCCGTACCGCACTGATGCATCGGAGTGCTCCCCGCTTTCGGAAGTCGCCAGATACGCTGAAGACTGCCGTCAGTTGGCTCGGTCTATGACAAGTGAGGCTCAAGGTCTACAAAAAACCCGACATGATGACGTTCATCACATAGCGCCTACGTTTCGTACTGGCTCTCTTGTGTGGCTTCGGGTGCCCCCGCACGTTCCTGGCCTTTCTTCTAAGCTTCTAGCCCGGTACCATGGTCCATACCGTGTCATTGACGCAACCTCGCCGGTGAATTACATCATCGAGCCCCTAACACAATTGCCAGATTTGCGCCGTCGAGGACGCGAGACAGTACACGTCGACCGTCTGAAGCCCTACTACGACCCCCTCATTGTGCCTACTCCCTGAGTCGCCAGGATGGCTACTCTTCAACCCGGGGGGTATTGTAGTGGAGCATACGCACTAACGTGTATGCGCCTTACAAAGAGAAGGAAAAACCCATGCTCTGATTGCACGAGAACCTGGGCCGCCTTTGCCAGACTTGTCGTACCGCCATTTTTCGTTGCGACATCGTTGCGACTTCTCCGGTTCAATAAACGTCATCACAAATGAAATACTAAAGCAAGGACAAAAGTTCGAATGCAAATACTCACCCAGTTTCCGAAGCATTCTTTGGCATTCATCTTTTGTATAGTCTAGCACCATCGGCCACATGGCTGTTGACTTCTGCAAGGAAAACGAGATGATGAGAAACTTATCTGCCATGAGCCCATGAAACAGCCCATCGCTAGCACGATCAGTTCATGTCTTCATGCCAACAAAGGCAGCAACAAGCAATGGCTCACTGTTGTGCATATGCCTGTCTATACACGCTAAAGGTTCAAGAGCCAGGTTGTGAAGTTTAGCCACAGAGCTCATGATAATACAGAACAGCATAAATTCAATAGAATGATTGATAAAGACATGGAGGCAAGTAGCACAAACGCTAACAAAGCATATTTGAATTTTTAAAGCATTAAATACAGTGGGTGTCGAAAATTTTACGTTTAATGGAAGAGGCGGGAGCACCTTATTTCAATCTGTTCAGTAACAGCAGAGTTACAAAAATTTGTTACACGCTGCAATCGCATTCTCTGTTCTCTCGTTCCGACGAAAGCACTGGAAGCTAAGCAGGGGGGGGGGATGGGAGGGGGCAAACAAAAAACATCACGCTCGCCTCGTGACCTTGAGCACTTTTTTATTATTTTTTTTCATCGAATACGCAACTTCTTCAGTGCGATTGTGCGTGCATGCGTGGACAAGTGACGGCCTCTTGCCGTGATTTCTGTAACAACCGAGCGCGCCATGTTCAAATCAGCTAATCGCTGATAGATGGGTCATCTACGTTTTGATTTTTGGGCACATTCCGTGATTTGGCGAGGGAAGAGACAGCAATTTTTAGCTGACTTGGATAATTTATTGAGAATTCCAGGTCGCGTGCTACACTATAACATTTGGCTTGCGTGTTCTCGGAACCCTGTACTACCGATCAGCAGCGTTTCCTGACCATGCTCAAAAAGTGTGAAGGGCCCCTTTAAGAAGCCGAAAACAATTGAATGGTGAGAAAGCACAAGGAAAGGAGATGCAAAAAGAGAAAAAATGGTTCGTATAGTAAAAAAGATCTATGACGCCAGTAAAAAAGAGAGACGAGCATCCATGACAATTTGACCAATGGAGATATTGTTACGAGAAGACAATAGACAATAAAAATGCAAAAGTACTACTATGCAGCATTAGGAACTGACATTATAAACAAGTGAAAACTAAAAGTACAATAACAAGTGTTGTAAAACACAACTGAAGAGTAATGAACTACTGATGCTGCAGCAGAGCAGTGTCATCATTGCAGATATGGAGGCTGAATCAAATGTGGAAAAAAAAGTGTTAGAATCATGCCTGTAAATAAGGCATTACACAAAAAACTAAATTTCATACAAAATAATACTACTGTGCAGGGCTGTGGAACATTTGTGCTCGTATGAGTCAAAGAAAAACAAGAACGAGTGCAATTGTGATACATGATAGCGAGCATTTCATACGACATAAAGATCAGCGTACGGAATGCTAAGTTGCCAATTTGCACGACTTACCCTTTTCACACAGAGAATTGTACATCAGGGAAATAGGGAAGTGAATCAACCTAAAATTAGGGGCCCACTAGTAATGTCTTTTTGGGATACCAAGATTACATCTGGTGTCCCGTGGCACCTTGCCGAGATGATGTGTAGAGCCAGGTTTTCAGAATGCAGCGCTCATGTCATAAATGATCAAATTCAATTAGCACATCATCGAATCGTTGCACATAAAGAAAAGGTCAGAGAGGTGGATTAGCCGCCTATAAGTTAATATGTCTTGCAAGATGAATCGGTACTTATGCTCCAGATGCTACACTCTGCTCAGATTCATGCATGTCTTAAAATCGTTTCCTCAATATTTTTGTTATTTTCCCCGCAAATCTGCATGGCAACGTGTCATTCTGGAGAGGTGCTATCTAAAGGCGCTAATGCACATTAAATGAATTCGGTTAGAAGACTGCGCTCATCTCTTCCTTTTTTTTACTCACGCCCTATCCCCAGTTTGAAAGAAACAGCACAGTTTGAACAAAAGATGTATCCTTACCAGCTAGCCCAGCTATGAATTCTTCAGACCACTGTGCAAAACTTAGCATAGATTAGTCAGCGTTAAAGCAAGGAGGGTCACAGTACGAGGACACTGAATGATGTAGCACTTTCTGCATAGTATTTTTCCGCTCCAAACGTACATGTAAAACTCTCTTTATGTGCTCTCAGTTCACAGATACTCCAAGCCATTTATAACTCCCAATAATAACAGCCTAAGCTTACTAGAGCATGGAAGAAATGCTGTTATAGCAGTACTAATGGTAAGGTCAATAACAGAAAAAAAAAACGAAATAAAATAAGGATTTCAGAGAATAGCATCCTGCTTGACATCAAGAAATGTACAGTATTTAGACTATTATAATGCACACCTTTTTCTTTTTCCCAAGATGTAGCCCTCAAACACGTTTGTGCATTATAACCAAGCTCAAAAGTGAGAATGTCAGGAAGTGTTTTTTTTCCAATTTTCTTAATGCAAAGTTACCTGAGCATTACAACATATGACACACTACAATTTTCTAAATATGGCACATCAATGCTAATAAATGCACCTTCAAACTATCGTTTGCCATCTGCAAAACAGTATGCAATAGTTAGGTGCAAGTGTAAAAACATGCGCGAAACTTTCTTCAAAGGCAACTTCATACTATATAACGTCTTCTATCCTAATTTCTTGATATACGGAATCTAAATCATGAACTAAAAAGGGGCTCTCACAATATAGAAATCTTAATCTGGGTGTCATGTACAATCATTTTGTATTAACTCGTCAACCTGTAGCCATTTAATGACTCCATAAAAAAAAAACACCACGCATCGTGCTTCCAAAAAAAGGGAGTAATTCAAAACACTTCAGTGGTTATATTCGTTAAGGTGAGTTCATTTAAACCATCATCTCTGCAGTTCTGAATGTTTCACATGCTGCCTTGATATGAAAAAGCAGCTCACCTGGCATGTCTGAGCTTTTTTTCATGTGACAACATTCAAGTACAAAATCGTTTTGTGCAAAAGAACAGTTTTATTTTTTTTTATCTATTCTATAAATCTCACTTGGGACAGGGAAATTGTGTGATAGCAGTTTTGCACATTCCTAGCTCATGCACAAGCACCTCTAACTGCAATATAAATGATTTATACCAGGTGAGAAAAAAAATCTTCAAGCTAGAAGAGGTAAAACTTTGTAAAGCAATTTTCGCAGGGATTTTTTTTTAAGTGGCAATGCCAAACTTTGTTGACTGCCTATACATAGTGTGCACGTGCTTCACGCAGCGCCCCTTCATCACTTCCGAAATGCGCCACCGACATGGCCGGGTACCTACTAATTCCATCGTCTACCGCTGCCGTGTTATCTCCTCATGCTTGCGCCCATTTAGTTTTGCCTCACGATGCAAGTTTGAGGAATTATCAGCTGCTAGTGAGGCAAGTCGATTTAGTAGTCCATGAAGAGGGAGCAGCGCTTTGGGGTGTTTCTTCGCCGAAAGTTATTACCTAAAATTGAGAATGCACATTGCGATTTTCCGAAAAGTACCGGCGTGTTTGGCTGGCACGGATTAACAAAAACTACTTGAAGAAACTCGGTGATATTTGCACCTTAAAGTGCAACTTAATTACGGGTAAGTGCCATAGCCAAGCACGTATATATCTGCAAACAGATAGTTTACCAAGATAATGTACATACAAACATGTCCGCGACCACTGCGTGCACAATTAGCGTGTCATGGGGGCGGTTAAAATCGTGATGGCGGTCGCGGAAATTCGGGTATTGCATTGAAACAAACTGTGAAAATGGATGCAAAACAATATTAGTTTATTTTGAAGTATAGCCGATCGATACGAGTTGCGGGGTCAGGATTTTTTTAAATTTGTCAATTAATTCTCTGACGCAGTCTCCATCATTTTCAGGGGCTCCACTGAACATTAGTGTACAATAAAAGTAAAATAGAAAGTGAAAAAGGTGTCCAAACATGCGTGAAAAAAAAAAAAAAAAAGAAGTGATGATCAGCATTACCGCGGCACGCACCACGCGAAGCCTCTATCTGCCTCGCATAATGTTTTCCTTGGCCGCTTCCACAAATTTTAATCAAAGAGGCTCAACATCAGCACTGTTTAAAACACTGGGAGGGGGGGGAGGCACTGCTACTTTTGTGGCGTGGGCCATAGCAATATATTAATATTATATCTCTTGTAAACTTTCCTAGCTCTGCACGACTCGTTTTCGATGGGAGCTGCTTCGCTTAGCTCATCTACTCTTCCAACTGCGGCTCAAGAGACTTTGGGTTTTCACTTGTTTTTGGGCCAGGCAATTTGTAGTGAAAGCGCGATAATTAATGGGCGCTTGTAAGTCGTGGCGGGCAGCCGGTGTACGCGGTGGCTGGTATACGTGTCGCACATCTTGATTTTCTGATCTTATATCGAGTGAACAAGCAAAGCCTTCTTGATCCGACGAACTCGTTAAAGTACAACAAAAAACCACAATGCTTCCTTTGCAACATCATACACATAAACAGATGACGAGCGCCCAACAAACCGCGCTGCAGCACGCAAACTGCTGTAAGTACCCAGCGAGGTACCCGGGCATGGCGGGAGATGGCGACAACGGCGGAAGTGACAGCAGATGAACACTATGTATAGTTGCCCCAATGAACTCACTTTGCCTCGAACTTCATGTGATGCATGGCATCTTTTAGAAATCGAAAGTTTGATCTTTTCTTGCTCCTTCAATCATTTTGAAGCACTTGTCACATTACTCATGTACAGAAAAACACTGATTCTATTATTACACTAAGTGGTACATTTTCAGGGGCAGTGCAAAACTTTATTAAAGGGATGCTAAAGAGAAACAATGTTTTGATTTAGATTGACAAAGTACACTCTGAGAACTCTAGTATTATATGATTCATTATCATAAGTTTATTATTTATGGAAAAAATTAATGGTAAAGTTTCATTTATAATTTCATGCCTAAATTATCGCATGTGACATCGGAAATTTCAAAATGTATTTTTGCTATTTTCGTGACACTGGTCCGATGAAACTTTCTGAAAGTTTGTATACTAGGTATGTGACACACACAAATCATAATATAGTTAATTCTTATTAATTAGAAGCTACGTAGGACTCCGAAGATGCCTTCAAGACCTGTGATTGGTGCGGGAATCTCAAGATAACCTCCGCACCCGCATTTCTTTTTGCACGCTTTTCTGCTTCCCAAGCATCATGTTGCCGTAATAGTGGTGTTTTCAGGATTTCTATATTGCACTTTACTAATAGGCAGAAACTGTTTTCCTTTTTAGTATCCCTTTAAGGTAAGCTAGCAACTCACAGCGTTTTGCCATTATTTCTCATGCCTACAAAATGTCTCATATCAATTGAAGTTGCAGGCATACTTATCTTAAAGGAGCCTAGAGCTTTTGCTCATGCTTCATTTTTCGTCGAATTCGTGCAACAAATCACAGTTTTAATATATATTACTTAACAAAATGCTTGTGATTGTGGCTTTCCAGGTTATTTCATTGGACCACAGGCAGTGAGATGGTTCGTCATCACTATAGCAAAATGTTTTCATGGTGACGCGTTTATGTAATGAGTGCACTTACGTTTTTTTTTCCTCCGGACAATGCCGGTGGGCAAAGGTGCCAAAGGCTTCAATGATAGATGCAAACCATGACTGAAAGTAAGACAACCATAAGTGGAAAACCTTGTTTAAAAAGCTTTTAGAATAAAATGCCAGGCTGCACTGGCTTTTGCAACATTCGCCGCCTGCACACAGAGAGGATATGAAAATCCGCACAACCATCACACTCACAAATACATTCTCGCTCATTATGGGGTTCTAAGCCAAGGTTGTACAAAATTTACTAACTTGACATTAATGCAGAATATGAAGTGAATGATGAGAAAATAAAGAAATCTAGAAATTTTCAATATACGAGCATGTGTCGAGTGTAAAGTGATAAAAACTAGATCGAATAACGATGAGCATTTTAACTTGACAGAGACAGTGAGCAGTAAAGAGTGACAAAACTGCGCCATTAAAAAAAATTAGGACTGATTTACCACACACTGTAGGGCTCGGCTGAAGTGGCCTAAAGGTGCCTAATGGCGTGAGGGGCCTTCGCTCACCAGACCTGAGTACACTAACCCCGATTCGTAACACACATGTGTTCAACTACCTATGCACCACGAAGCATGTGACGTATGACCAGTGTGATTACATTATCTGCTACAAAAACAATATGAATTTACATGAGGAGTAAGAGGATTACTAGAATGATAACAGTGTGTTTCCTTATAATGTAAGTATAGCGGTCTGACTAAAGCAAGCCAGAATTTTGAAAATTGGCATTCCATTCCCTATAGCATACTGAGAATCCTGCATTGTGTCTGTTGGTTATGAAGCTGAAAAATAGCTTCTTTCTTTTGATATGTTGCGAGAACAAACTGAAAACAATAGAACTGTAGCACAAATGAAACCGCTGTGTTGAGTTAATCATAAAATGTAGCTGCAATGACTGTATGGCAAATGATGTAGGGTATAAGACATACAAAAGGAGATTACTCTCAGAATCCCATACATGTGGAGAGCTAGCTGCACAGCTAATAGGTTTCCTTGAATACTCAGTTAGCTGCGGTGCTTTACACCGAAAAATGAGGGTTTTTTTTTTTTTCCTCGCTCTCCACATCAGTGTGATATGTGTGCACGAGAAGGCCTATTCAATGGAGAGACGAAAACCTGACGCGTGAATAATGCGCAAACGGTAACGATACATTTCATCGCGGTTACGGTGAAAAAGAAACGAAGCCGACTAAAAGGCCGTCAAGGAACCGTTATGAGCTCTCAAAAAATGCTGATATTGGCGGGAGCAGCATAACCGTGCGTCCGAATAAGAGTGGTGGCCGAGCGAAGTGGTGAAAGCCAAAAAAGGGGAGAAAACGTTGCATGCGGAATTCGTTCACGCCACAATTCGCTTCTTCCTGCAGGGAAAAAAAAAAAAGAAAGCGAGGTGGTGGCTGGCTACGCGTGCAGCAGCAGTCGCGACTTCCCGTCTCACGTACACGTCTCTAAACAACGCGAATCGAACATCTGCGGTGTGCTCCTCCTAGAGGAGCGCAAACCCCGGTGCGAGACATCATCGCACCCGTGCGCAGATTTGATTCGGAGCTAAGCGCTGTCGACCGGACTGGCCGTTCGAGAACAACGGCTCGCCGAACGTCGTCTCGGTGGGGACGAAGCGAAAATCCTGGCCGCAAGACACTCGGAACTCGCAATCCGACGCTCTAGGCGAGTTCTGGGGTCGCCGACGTCCATGGCCGTGCCTCGCAGCGACGAGAACCGAGCGCCTAACGATCATTTCAGAAGCAAACAAGACGCGACTAATTATCGCGGTCAACTCTTCTCGCGACACGGCTCGCAGCGAAGCTATGCCGAATTCGAGAGGGAAAAAACGACTAGGACACTCGGCTCCTGAACAGCGGGACAGCACGGCAACCGAGCACGCCGCGAGAACCGTCGAGACGAGCGGGAGACCCTTTTAAAGCGCGAAAAACGAGTGCGCCAGTGACAAAACACAGTGAACGAACTTGAAGAGGCCCTACGGTCACGGGATAAAAGAAACGCTTTGTTCGCCTCCGTCAGCTGCCCGAACGACGCTTTGGCCACCCGCGGGAAGCCGTTTTGTCCAAGAATGTTTGCGAGAGATTTCTCGCTCACCTGACGTACCGTTGTCTACTAATCGCAATTGCTTCGACTTACCATTTCAGTCTTTCGCTACTTTGACACGCGCCATGTTTGACATGCATAGAAGGAAGTTGCCAGGCAAACGCAACCGATCAACCGGTGTCCTACATTTTGAAAAAGTACTCTGAAGCGCTTTTTATTAATAAAAAACATCTTCCAATAAATTTTATATGGCGCTGTTTATATGGTTGAACAAAGTTTACTTATTTTACTTGTGCTTATCGCGTGGATTCTATTTTGCTCATTTCGGTTCACAGGCGCCGCTACCGTTGTTTGTTGACGCTATCATCGTCTGCTTCGCAACCAGCCTGTGCTTCGCAACCAACCTGTGACGAAGTGGCACGAAAACGCAGTAGCATTTATTCTTTCTCAGTTTAGGTCATGTAATGGCTTGAATGCCTAGCAGTAAGTTCTTTAGCGCGAGGTACTGATCAGTCTTGCGAGTCGCGGTATCAGCGAAAGCCTTTCTTTTCTCTCTACGAAAGCAATGGCAGGGTGAACTCGCTAGGCATGACGTCGACTGAAATCACCATCAAGAGCGTAGGGGTGCGACTGAACAGCCCTGCCGTGGTTGTCGTGTACGAAACGGGCAGCGGCACTCTTCACAAGAGGACGATGCCCGTGAGGGGCCTGTTCGAGAACTCGGACGTCAAGAGCGTGGCCGAAGCGCTTCGCGACCGCCATTCGGCGGTTCTAAGCGCCGCTCCACTCATACAGGTGGAGAAAATGTTGCGCATTCTGCAGGAAAACATGAAGGGCGTCGGCTCGTTGCAAGAATGTCTCGACAAAGTGAATCAAGAGTTCACGGTGAACCCGAATGAAGACCTGAACAAGCTGGACGACGAGACGTTGCGCAGGAAAAAAGACATGATGAGCATATCATTCGAGAAGAGTCGTAAGAAACCGGGCGATCCTGACTTTCAGTACGACGTCGAGGAAGACTTCGATGTCGAAGCTGCGATCGAGACGTCGGGATGGGACTCCGACAAAAGCGGTGATTTTGACTTTTGATTAATTCGAGCATACGAAACTTCACTTTCTCCTTTTTAGCGTCTCTGCGGTTCGCATTGAAACAGCAAACGCTTCCCAAGCTTCAAAACAATATGGAACACGTGGCGCCATCTAGGCGCTATGAAGAAAGCATTACCCGCCGGGCGCTATGAACTTAGCTGTTGAAGGATGAGAGTGGTAACAGTAGACTGAAAATAAAAAAGGCATTGAATTCGTTTCCCTGTTCGCTTTTCTGCCTTAATTTCTGGAAACTCCTGCGCGTGAATGCGCATAGACTGTTGTCAGTTTTCATCACTTCTTGCAAATTGTATTGTCTTTGCCATGGCCGTAGCCAGGAGGCGTGGGTTTCAGCACGCCAATAGAGTGTACTAGTGCACTAGGTCCGTTCGATTCACCTGCACCGGTCGGAACTGGTTCACGGCTGTGCACGCGAAGTTCAGAAATCGTGCAGCGTGAGTTCAGCGGTGCAGGCACAGCACGACACCCGAAACAAATGACGATGTGCCGACAAGGTGTTGGCCTTATTTCTTTTCGGTTAATTTACACCATTCAGCAAACACCGACCTATGGCGAAACGCACATGCGGGCAGTTTATGAGGCGCAAACATCTTGGCAAAACACACCGCATTTGTAGAGGCGGGTATGGCGCCTAAGCCACCTACGTCTAAGTGCTGCGTCGTCTGCTCAGCTGCACGCGCGCCTGCACCAAGCCGGCACCGTCAGCGAAGGAGGTGCAGGAAAATTGTTAACCGGTGCTGCACCTCTTCTGCACCTTTCTAAACGAATGGCAGGGTTCAGCAGTCGTCAATGCTGCACCGCTTAAACGAATGGTAAGGTGCAGCACCTCGTGAACTGGTTCACGTGGTGCAGGCGAATCGAACGGACCTACTGTAACGCCACCCCAAATTTTTAAATTTTTTCTTGCGTATATATAAACGCACACACGAACATACATAAGGTATAGTAGAACCCCTCCCGAAAAAGAAAATCTGGCATGCTAGTGGTCGTGCTCTAAAACTTTACGCCCTACTGAAAAAAAAAAGGAGGTCACTACATTTTAATCAATGCAATACTGCTACTTTCATCTTTAACTGGACGACATTTATTCAAATAATGAAGACTTTTTCTTAAAACTACCTGGTTCTTGGCCAATCCCCCCGCGTGGGTGTGTGCCACTGTCCAAGGCTCTACACTCTACCCTTCAATGCAGGGTGGGTGTGAGCTAGAAGTTCGGGATCCGCATCCACATGACCACTAGTTTCGAAGGAGAAATCATTACACATACGAATATAGGCACTGCATCGTAGTTCATGGCACGGGCTCGGCGCCAATCACATTCGTGCATATACATGGTGAAACTGGGAGTCCTTGAAGCCTTAGAGCACCAGATTTGTCGAGGGGCATCACCAGAAATGTTTTTCGGGGAGGTTTCAACCATACTGTATGTTCGTGCGTGTGTTTGCGTGCGTGTGTATACCCGCAAGCAAAATTAAAAATTTTCTGGGGGTTTGGACTCTGCAGCTCCAATCTTGGCTGCCCCCATAGAAACAGTTGAATCACCATAAAGACACCCCAGCTTCAAATAGAAAGATTTGGTCGAACATTGAGAGACCAGGTTAAATTTGTTGCGCGTCAATTAATGTTCTTGTAGAGTGATCAACCTAAGAAAGCATACCAGCTCCAACCACGGTCATCGCGGTTCCTTGAACAGAGAGAACGTCCATAAACTCTATCCAATTGAGCTTACTCATGTTTCTGACATAAGAAGATTTGGACTCTTCAAGATATATAACTTTCCCAAACACAGGTTGGCAGCGCCGGTTTTAGGCTGGAAGCTTGAATGTCTTGGTAAGCAACATCGGAAATTCTGGCATCGTTGCCCTGCCGACCTAATGTTTTCTGCAGTACTCATGAACATTTAACTTTTGAACATTCCGGTCCGCAACACTTTTCAAGGTGACCATCGAATAATTTCATAGAGTGTTGCAGAATCGATTGAAAGGGACCCTATAACACTTTTCGAGCATGGTCGCAAAACGCTGCCGAACGGTCGAGGCTCCTGGGAACCTAGTGAGGCCGCAGCATGCAGCCTGTAATTTACAATCAAGCCTCAAAATCAGCTAGATTTCTATTCCCCTTCACTCGAGAAGTCTTTCCATGAACCGTAAATCCACGGTCATCGGCTGATGCGAGCATCGTGAGCTGCATAGTTACCGTGGCCGCCACAGGACCGCTTTGAAGCTGGAAGTATAGCCAGATGCATAGAATGCAAGGCGTTCGATCTGAGAAGAAAGGGCTCAGAGAAAACGTACCAACACACGGCCGCTAGCGGGAGCTTGTGTGCCTTATAGGATGTTTCTTAGAGATTTACCGTTATAATTTTTACAGTGTGTTCGTATTAGTCAAACCAAAACTTAGCACTCGCATGCTTCCAGGACGTGATCGAGATCCCTGCCAACTTATAAAGCACCACCCTTCCTTGAAAATAAGAATCCTAAATGAATTTTTCTTCCTCTTCCTGATGGCCCCAGTGTCTTGGCACCGCTTGCTCGCGTGGGAAGACGAAGCTTGGGAAGACGGAGGATATAAAACACGAGTGCAGGGACGCTCAAGTGAGCTTTTTCTAGTATCGTGCAGCGGACGCGCTGAACGGAGAACATAGGGCAAGGCGCTGAAGTGCCGACCGACAAGTCTTACTACCGTTGGAGGGTCCTGGACTCCATTGTCTTCTCTCGCAGGAAAGCTTGGGAAGACGGAGGATATAAAAAAACACGAGTGCAGGGATGCTCAAGTGAGCTTTTTCTAGTATCGTGGGGTGGACGCGCCACACAGAGAACACAGGGCATGGCGCTGAAGCGCCGGCCGACAAGTCGTACGCAGCAGCCGGTAACCACGCAGAAACTCTTTTATTATATACAATGCCGCGCATGATGATGATGATGGTAATGAGGCCATTCCCTTTGTAACGGGCGGGCACACTTTGGCACCCTAGCCGATAGTAAAAAAACAAAGAAAATAAGAAAATAAAATACAGACTGGGCGGGTTGCCGAGTTAAGAACCCTCCCGAAGTCCCCGGAGAGTTATTTTTCTCCATTGTTCTAGGCGAGTTTTGCTGCGCCTCACTGCGGCGTAGTCCACCACATCACCTGTGTCCCAAAAAAACCCAGTGCGGCAGCGAGATCTGTGTTCGAACTGGATGGGCTCAGTTGCGGGCACTCGGTCACGATGTGTGCGATGGTTTCGTCAGCCCCACCACACGCGTGACACACCACACTCACGAGTTCACTGTCGTAGGCTTGCTTACGGACGAGAGTACGCAGGGCCCCTGCTCTCACCTCAAACAACAGCACACTTCCAAGGCCATTGTCGTACAGTGGGACTGGAGCAATGGTGTCCTTGTGCTGGTGGTAGAGGAGGAGACTTGACTTGTTCACTTATGCCTGCCTCCACTTCTCCTCCTCGGCCTCCTTAATACGTAGGCGAATTTCCTTAGTGCGCCCTCGTTGGTTTTCGGCCGCCAGTGGTGCCTGGAAAAACCCAAGCTTTTTCTCAAGTTGGTACACTCGTCGTACCCACTTGGTGCGCATACATGTCGCCATGAGGTAGTCAAAAACTCGTCGAGACCACCTCTCGCGGGCCATGTACATCAGGCGGCAGTGGAACGTCAGTTTGCTGGCCGCCTCACGCGCTTCGAAGCTCGACCAGCCGGTGTCCCCCAGGACCGCCTCGTTCGCCACCATGCCATGACAGCCCAGAGCGATGCGCCCTACTTCCCGCTGTCGCCGCTCCAACCATTCCCCTGGGTGGCCGCTGACATAATCACGACTGCGTTCGCAAATGTCAGCCCAGGCACGTGGACGAGCTTCCAAAGGTCACGTACCATTAAATACCGGTTGCAGCCCCACAAACAGCAGCGCCTGAGGATGCTCTGAACCCGTAATCCAGCTTCACGCGTCTTCGCCTCATGTAGGCTGTACATGTCCATTGATGCTGACAATTTTACACCCAGGTACCTGTAGTCGGTGCAGCTGCTCACTTCGGCATCTCCCAGGGTCACAACACTCTCCTTGGTGCACTCCCCCACAAGTCTGAGAAGGACTGTCTTCTTAACGTTGAAGCAGAGCCCCAGGCGGGTGATTTCATCCTGGCAGATGTCCAGCAGTGCCTGCATTTCCTCGGTGCTTTCTGCCATGAGCACGATGTCGTCTGCGAACGTTAAGCCCGGTAGACGACGCCTCTCGTCGATACCACTGGTCGTGTGGTGGAGCCGAAAACCAAGGCTGGAGCTAAGAAGCTTCCTCTCGAGGCTTGAGACGTAAAGAATATACAGTAATGGTGAAAGTGGGCAACCCTGACGCAGGCCTTTCACTACTACAACGGGGTCAGACTGAACATCCCCGAAGTGTAACTCTGTACATACGTCTCACGGTCGAGATGAGGATCTCTGGAAGGCCCAAGTGGTTCATGCAATCAAACAATGCTGCCTGTGGGACACTATCGTATGCTTTCTGTACATCCAGAAAACAGCATAGCAGAGATCGCCCTTCAAGCTTCGCTATTTCGGCACACTGGGTCAGAGTGAAAATATTATCCTCCAATCTACGACCCGAACAAAACCCATTTTGTAGTTCCGTCAGCAAGTTCTTCGTCTCAGCCCAGCCACTTAGCCATCCCCTTAGGATACCGGCAAACATTCGGTACATCACGCTATAGTGACCGTGATAGGGCGATAGCTCTGCAGCAGGTCCGCCGCGCCGCCTTGCTTTAGGATCAATGTTATCCGACCCTGACGCCAGTCCTTCGGGATTTCAGCGCCAGAAAGGATGCTCGACAGCTGGTCTGCAAGCTTCTCCCTAGACTGTGGGTGGAGGCACTTCACCAGGCGCGCTGTCACCTGGTCGGGCCCCGTTGCAGTTCGAGTGCTCATTCGCGCTAAGGCACGGATGACTGTCACACTGCTCACCGCCCAGCGCGGTTCCGCTTCCTCTTGCCTTTCGCCGAGGGCAGGGTGCAGTGTCGCGGCCGCGGAAGCATCCCTGTCGCCGTCATTTCCCGTCGAGCCAAACAGTCCACTGCCACTGATGTATCGTGTCAGGTGCTGCCGCACATGTGCCACTGGCTGGTTGGTGTCAGCATCCCTCAATTGGGGCGAATTCTGTTGTCGCCTATCCAGTGTTTGCACATATTGCCAGAACTTCTGGGCTGCGTTCTTGCCCT